GAGGGGTATTTAGGCCCAGTTCTCATCCTGCTCAGTTCCCTGTTGTGGTTTTCCTTGTGATTGTCTGAGAGCGTGTTATTGAGTCTGGTAATTTGACTTTGGCATTCTTTTTGACTTCCCTGTTTTCTGGTATCCCTGACTGATTGGCTTTTCCTTATCATTGTGTCTCTTTCTGTTTCCCTTGACCTCGGCTATTCCTGACAATTCTTTGGTACGTTAGTCCGGCCATTCTAAGGTCCGGTATATGTTACCTATCAGTCCTCTGTGTTACGCAATTCTATGTGCTGGATCATTCTGTAATCCTGACAATTATAATAGGAGGGGTAAAACCAGCTCCAATCTCTATACTCAGTGTATTATAATAGGAGGAGTAAAACCAGCTCCAATCTCTATACTCAGTGTATTATAATAGTCCAATCTCTATACTCAGTGTATTATAATAGGAGGAGTAAAACCAGCTCCAATCTCTATACTCAGTGTATTATAATAGGAGGAGTAAAACCAGCTCCAATCTCTATACTCAGTGTATTATAATAGGAGGAGTAAAACCAGCTCCAATCTCTATAATTACTATATTATAACAGGAGGGGGAAAACCAGCTCCAATCTCTATAATTACTATATTATAACAGGAGGGGGAAAACAAGCTCCAATCTCTATACTCAGTGTATTATAATAGGAGGAGTAAAACCAGCTCCAATCTCTATACTCAGTGTATTATAATAGGAGGAGTAAAACCAGCTCCAATCTCTATACTCAGTGTATTATAATAGGAGGGGGAAAACCAGCTCCAATCTCTATACTCAGTGTATTATAATAGGAGGAGTAAAACCAGCTCCAATCTCTATACTCAGTGTATTATAATAGGAGGAGTAAAACCAGCTCCAATCTCTATACTCAGTGTATTATAATAGGAGGAGTAAAACCAGCTCCAATCTCTATACTCAGTGTATTATAATAGGAGGAGTAAAACCAGCTCCAATCTCTATACTCAGTGTATTATAATAGGAGGAGTAAAACCAGCTCCAATCTCTATACTCAGTGTATTATAATAGGAGGAGTAAAACCAGCTCCAATCTCTATACTCAGTGTATTATAATAGGAGGAGTAAAACCAGCTCCAATCTCTATACTCAGTGTATTATAATAGGAGGAGTAAAACCAGCTCCAATCTCTATACTCAGTGTATTATAATAGGAGGAGTAAAACCAGCTCCAATCTCTATACTCAGTGTATTATAATAGGAGGAGTAAAACCAGCTCCAATCTCTATACTCAGTGTATTATAATAGGAGGAGTAAAACCAGCTCCAATCTCTATACTCAGTGTATTATAATAGGAGGAGTAAAACCAGCTCCAATCTCTATACTCAGTGTATTATAATAGGAGGGGGAAAACCAGCTCCAATCTCTATACTCAGTGTATTATAATAGGAGGGGTAAAACCAGCTCCAATCTCTATACTCAGTGTATTATAATAGGAGGGGTAAAACCAGCTCCAATCTCTATACTCAGTGTATTATAATAGGAGGAGTAAAACCAGCTCCAATCTCTATACTCAGTGTGTATTATAATAGGAGGAGTAAAACCAGCTCCAATCTCTATACCTACAGTGTAATATAATAGGGGAAAACAAGTCCAATCTCTATACTCAGTGTATTATAATAGGAGGAGTAAAACCAGCTCCAATCTCTACCTCAGTGTATTATAATAGGAGGGGGAAACCAAGCTCCAATCCTATACCCAGTGTATTATAATAGAGTGAGTAAAACCAGTCTAATCCTATACCCAGTGTATTATAATAGGAGTGAGCAAACAAGCTCCAATCTCTATACTCAGTGTATTATAATAGGAGGAGTAAAACCAGCTCCAATCTCTATACTCAGTGTATTATAATAGGAGGGGTAAAACCAGCTCCAATCTCTATACTCAGTGTATTATAATAGGAGGAGTAAAACCAGCTCCAATCTCTATACTCAGTGTATTATAATAGGAGGAGTAAAACCAGCTCCAATCTCTATACTCAGTGTATTATAATAGGAGGAGTAAAACCAGCTCCAATCTCTATACTCAGTGTATTATAATAGGAGGAGTAAAACCAGCTCCAATCTCTATACTCAGTGTATTATAATAGGAGGAGTAAAACCAGCTCCAATCTCTATACTCAGTGTATTATAATAGGAGGAGTAAAACCAGCTCCAATCTCTATACTCAGTGTATTATAATAGGAGGAGTAAAACCAGCTCCAATCTCTATACTCAGTGTATTATAATAGGAGGAGTAAAACCAGCTCCAATCTCTATACTCAGTGTATTATAATAGGAGGAGTAAAACCAGCTCCAATCTCTATACTCAGTGTATTATAATAGGAGGAGTAAAACCAGCTCCAATCTCTATACTCAGTGTATTATAATAGGAGGAGTAAAACCAGCTCCAATCTCTATACTCAGTGTATTATAATAGGAGGAGTAAAACCAGCTCCAATCTCTATACTCAGTGTATTATAATAGGAGGAGTAAAACCAGCTCCAATCTCTATACTCAGTGTATTATAATAGGAGGAGTAAAACCAGCTCCAATCTCTATACTCAGTGTATTATAATAGGAGGAGTAAAACCAGCTCCAATCTCTATACTCAGTGTATTATAATAGGAGGAGTAAAACCAGCTCCAATCTTTATACTCAGTGTATTATAATAGGAGGAGTAAAACCAGCTCCAATCTCTATACTCAGTGTATTATAATAGGAGGAGTAAAACCAGCTCCAATCTCTATACTCAATGTATTATAATAGGAGGAGTAAAACCAGCTCCAATCTCTATACTCAGTGTATTATAATAGGAGGAGTAAAACCAGCTCCAATACCTATACTCAGTGTATTATAATAGGAGGGGGAAACCAAGCTCCAATCTCTATACTCAGTGTATTATAATAGGAGGAGTAAAACCAACACCAATCTCTATACTCAGTGTATTATAATAGGAGGGGGAAAACCAGCTCCAATCTCTATACTCAGTGTATTATAATAGGAGGAGGGGTAAAACCAGCTCCAATCTCTATACTCAGTGTATTATACTGAGTGCATTATACTCAGTGTATTATAATAGGAGGGGTAAAACCAGCTCCAATCTCTATACTCAGTGTATTATAATAGGAGGGGTACAACCAGCTCCAATCTCTATACTCAGTGTATTATAATAGGAGGGGTAAAACCAGCTCCAATCTCTATACTCAGTGTATTATAAATAGGAGGAGTACTCTCTATACTCAGTGTATTATAATAGGAGGAGTAAAACCAGCTCCAATCTCTATACTCAGTGTATTATAATAGGAGGAGTAAAACCAGCTCCAATCTCTATACTCAGTGTATTATAATAGGAGGAGTAAAACCAGCTCCAATCTCTATACTCAGTGTATTATAATAGGAGGAGTAAAACCAGCTCCAATCTCTATACTCAGTGTATTATAATAGGAGGAGTAAAACCAGCTCCAATCTCTATACTCAGTGTATTATAATAGGAGGAGTAAAACCAGCTCCAATCTCTATACTCAGTGTATTATAATAGGAGGAGTAAAACCAGCTCCAATCTCTATACTCAGTGTATTATAATAGGAGGAGTAAAACCAGCTCCAATCTCTATACTCAGTGTATTATAATAGGAGGAGTAAAACCAGCTCCAATCTCTATACTCAGTGTATTATAATAGGAGGAGTAAAACCAGCTCCAATACCTATACTCAGTGTATTATAATAGGAGGGGGAAACCAAGCTCCAATCTCTATACTCAGTGTATTATAATAGGAGGAGTAAAACCAACACCAATCTCTATACTCAGTGTATTATAATAGGAGGGGGAAAACCAGCTCCAATCTCTATACTCAGTGTATTATAATAGGAGGAGGGGTAAAACCAGCTCCAATCTCTATACTCAGTGTATTATACTGAGTGCATTATACTCAGTGTATTATAATAGGAGGGGTAAAACCAGCTCCAATCTCTATACTCAGTGTATTATAATAGGAGGGGTACAACCAGCTCCAATCTCTATACTCAGTGTATTATAATAGGAGGGGTAAAACCAGCTCCAATCTCTATACTCAGTGTATTATACTGAGTGCATTATACTCAGTGTATTATAATAGGAGGAGTAAAACCAGCTCCAATCTCTATACTCAGTGTATTATAAATAGGAGGAGTACTCTCTATACTCAGTGTATTATAATAGGAGGAGTAAAACCAGCTCCAATCTCTATACTCAGTGTATTATAATAGGAGGAGTAAAACCAGCTCCAATCTCTATACTCAGTGTATTATAATAGGAGGAGTAAAACCAGCTCCAATCTCTATACTCAGTGTATTATAATAGGAGGAGTAAAACCAGCTCCAATCTCTATACTCAGTGTATTATAATAGGAGGAGTAAAACCAGCTCCAATCTCTATACTCAGTGTATTATAATAGGAGGGGGAAAACCAGCTCCAATCTCTATACTCAGTGTATTATAATAGGAGGAGGGGTAAAACCAGCTCCAATCTCTATACTCAGTGTATTACACTCAGTGTATTATATTCTCGGTGTATTATACTCGGTGTATTATATTCTCGGTGTATTATATTCTCTGTGTATTATAATAGGAGGAGTATTATACTTGGTGTATTATACTCGGTGTATTATATTCTCGGTGTATTATACTCGGTGTATTATAATAGGGGGAATACAAGTTGAAGAGATAGCAGACCCCGCACTCTCCGCCCCATGGTTGCACTGAGTGTACATTGAGCGCTACCAGCCAGACTCAGACATGGCCGCTCATTCTGTGATGGGATCAGAGAGCCCTTTATCTCCATGGCATCGCGGCCTTCACAATACCCAGTGCGCATGCTCCCCATAGAGGCACTGCTTATCGGTCCTTCGTACAAAACTACATTTCCCTTGAGCCTTTGCGCCCTTATTAAGTGGCGCTATGATGTCACAGGTCGACGCCTATGTGACGTATAAAACGGAGGGCGTGGCCATGTGTATTGTCCTTCCTGTCGGAGAGCGCTGTGGCAGGAGTAGTACTGACAGGGCGCTGAAGGTATATGGGAATGGGGGGCAGTATGAAAGGGGGAAAGGGGGGGCAGTATAGAGGGGGGCAGTATGAAAGGGGGGGGGCAGTATAGAGGGGCAGTATGAAAGGGGAGATGGGGGGCAATGAAAGGGAGAGGGGGGCAGTATGAAAGGGGAGAGGGGGGCAGTATGAAAGGGAGAGGGGGGGGGCAGTATGAAAGGGGAGAGGGGGGGCAGTATGAAAGGGGAGACGGGGGGCAGTATGAAGAGGGGGGGGCAGTATGTGAGCTCTGTCTACTGTGTGGGGTGTGATATGCTGGGTGAGCCATCCCATAGAGCTCACAGCCTGCAGGGAGGCGGCCTGGCTGACATGGTGTCTGTAGGCAGGTAATGGGTTTTTTCATTAATTTGGGGACTGATAAATGAGAGAATTGCACCTTTGACTCCAATATTCCCTGTTTGGAGAAACCTTCTCCAACTCATTCAGTATGAAGCGTGGTTGTTATGGTCTTCCCTACAAAAGTCTGGGGAAATCCTCTAGGCACAGGGGCCAACCTCCAAATTTGGGCTATATCTCCCCTGATGCTTTGCCAGAATTATGGCTTTAAGAGGATTCTGGGAGATGTAGTCCACAACATATGGAGTGCCAAAGGTTGCCTATCCCTGATACACCTTGCTTGGTATCTCAGGTGTTGCTGTAACTGTCCAGCATTAACCAGGATCTGATGTGTAAATGGTACAGGTACTCTCTGTAATGACGTAAGTGAGCAAAACATTTTTGAGACCTCAGCGGTTACTAACTGAAGAGCCTGCGAGGTTTGCTCGGTCTCAGTTTATATATCCTCTGTTTTTGTAGCTTGGTTGTTAGCTCTAAAACTTGCAGTTTTCTTTATCATTTAATATTTTAGTGAATAACCCCATTTAAATGCACAAATGTAAACCCTGGTCTTGACAACTTGGTGAGCCTTCTTTATTCAGAATCAGTAGATCTATGTTACTTCTTTTAATGTGACTCTATCAAATTACTTTGTAAAGATTCCCTTTGGTGACATCGCCACTTGGTGTGTGGTGGCACGGGGATGTAGTTCAGGTGGGTTGTAATTATCTGATGCTGTCCTCCACGGGAGCATCCATAATATCTTGTGATGAGAGGGCTAATGCCATATTCCCACAGCTGTTGCTGTTTTGTCATAAGTTCCTACTTGGTCTTATAATAACTTTGAATGCACTCGAGTTTCAATGAAATTTCAACACTACCTCTATAAGCATATCATAACATTTTTATATGACTAATGATGCTTGAGCATTTTCTGTGTGTGCAATGCTTCATGATGAACCACTGAACATACACACTCCAAGTACCATGTCCATTTAAAATCTGTGACGTGGTCATGGTGCTTTTGTGAAAAAATGTTCTTGTAACGGTGAAGTAAAAAAAATGGAGTTTGACGATGTCTCTATCAGTCAGACTGCTGTCTGTTATTTACATGTGTATGTAGAACTATAAAGTATGTTTTGAGTTGTTAGTTTTTTTTTGTTTTTTTTTTATTACAAAAATATGCGAACCTTACATTGCTCTTCCTCTTACCTTCATAGTGGGTGTAGCGGAACTCCCTGTACCCCTAGCTGGAACACTGGAAAACCTCAGCGCTTCTGCCCCAGTTGCCGTGGCTTCACTGGGGTCCTCCTGGAATCTCTCCGTCCTGGAACAGTATAGGGGACTAGCTCTATTCCCTTCCAGGGACTGGACGACACACAGTCCTGGAAGCTCTAGTCTTTTAAAAGGACTTTTCCCGCCAAATCCTCCACGAGTTGGAACAAGGTGCTGACCAGCGCTTCCCCTTCCACTAGACAACACATAGTTCTGGGAGTACAACTAAGCAAAACTCTGCCTTTTATGCACAGTCACCAGCAGGGGGTCTCCATTGTATTCAGCACAAGCCCCTCCCAGGACTCTCTAGGCCTGGGAGATAATTGCATTAGACCAGTAAGCTAATTATCTCCCAGGAACAGAGAGGCAAACATAAAAGTACCCCAAAACATAATAAAAGCATAAAATAACCCCACAGTAATACAGCCCCAAATACTACAAAGGACTACAGATGCTCTCAGCGGTTCCTTTTGTATCAGTACTAGGTATTTAAAGAGGAATTATTTACACCATGGAAAATTACCTATAGTTTGTGTTAAAGGGTTACAAAATTCACCATGGCAACTTGGCATGATGCAAGCGGAGAACTGCAAATTTTCTGACAGAGTATAGTCATACATGACCACTATTCAGTACTAATATCAGTCTTGTGCAAAAAACAAACTACTTCATTATCAGCATGCACTGTGCGCTGGCGTTTAACATAATTGTCTCAACTTGCAAACCATGCCTGCAATGCAAAGCCTTTAGGACTGCAGCTCAGATGCACACAGTCAAATACACTTTCTCACTCAGTGCAGCCCTCTATCCAGCCCTCCACCCATTCCTTCACTCAGAACACATCTCTAGGATTGGGAGATGAGTGGTCTCAACCAGTAAGTTAAGCTATCACTCTGCTCATCTTGCTGCTCGTGAATGCTTACCGCGCATACATGAGTGGTGTAGCATTCATTACCTATTATAGAGATGCTTTGTGTTCAATGCACCTCTATCAGAATTAGCTGATAGGTGGGTCACAGAGGTTGCTGCGCATGTGACCAAGGTTACTCAATGCTTCTGTGTGGCAAGCATTTGATTGGACCTTGGACTGAGAACAGATGATTTTGCGTGGGAGAAAATGTTTGCCACCTCCATAGTGAAATGTCAGGTTTTCAAGTAGTAATTACAGCTACATTTATTATTGCACGTTTAGTGGAATTATGGGTTTATGGATACAACATACGTTTTAATTCTATTTGAGATACTTGACATTTTTTTGTTTGAGCACAAATTAGAGGCGCTGCTTTTTGGGTTTTTTTTTGAATCAATATGACGTGGAGGAAAAGATTGTATAGGTCTGCAAGGAATAGTGAAACATTTGACGAGAAGACTCTTTAGAGGGTTGTAATGACGAGTATCAAACCATTTTGTATCCTGGTAATAATTACACTGAACTTATTCAGTTATAGTTGAACATTTTAAATACTGATCACAATAATAAAGTTTGAATTATTTTGAAACATTTTTACTTAAAGGAACACTGTAGTGTCAAGAACACAAACGTGTTCCTGACCCGATCGTGTTAAAAACACTATCTGGCCCCCCTTGTCCCCATAAATATAGTAACATCTTACCTTTGTTCCAGTGTGCTGGCTCTACTGCTGATCTGCCTCCTTGCTGACATCAGAAGTGATGATTTCAGCCAATTACAATGCTTTCCATAGGAAAGCATTGGATTGCCTGAGATTGTCAATTCTGATGATCTCAGCCACGGAAGCGTACCGGTGGGCAGAGCCAAACGCTACTCTGGCCTATAAGCATCTCATTATAGAGATGTATTGAATCAATGCTTATCTATAAGGAAAGTTTAGTGTCTCCATACAGAGGGTGGAGACACTGAATGTCAGTCACACTGTGCAGCACTACCCCCAGGAAGCACCTCTAGTAGCCATCTGAGGAGTGGCCACTGAAGGTGTCCCTAGGCTGTAATGTAAACACTGCCTTTTCTCTGAAAAGACTTCAAAAAGCCTGCAGGAACTGATTATACTCACCAGAACAACTACATTAAAGGACCACTATAGGCACCCAGACCACTTTGGCTCAATGAAGTGGGCTGGGTGCCAGGTCCCACTAGTGTTAACCCTGCAGCTGTATACATAGCAGTTTCAGAGAAACTGCAATGTTTACACTAGGGTTAATTCAGCCTCTAGTGGCTGTCTCACTGAGAGCCGCCAGAGGCGCTTCTCGCTGTGAAAATCACAGTGAGAAGACGCATGTCGGTCTCTCCGTGTGTGTCGGTCTCTCCGTGTGTGTGTGTCGGTCTCTCCGTGTGTGTGTGTCGGTCTCTCCGTGTGTGTGTGTCGGTCTCTCCGTGTGTGTGTGTTGCAGGTCTCTGTGTGTGTGTGTGTGTCGGTCTCCCAGTGTGCCGTGTGTGCGTGTCTGCAGTGTGTGTGTCGGCGTCTCCGCGTGTGTGTGTGTGTGTGTGTCGGTCTCTCCGCGGTGTGTGTGTGTGTCGGTCTCTCTGTGTGTGTGTGTCGTCTGCGGTGTGTGTGTGTGTGTGTGTCGGTCTCCGTGTGTGTGTGTGTGTCGGTCTGCGTCTCTCTCCGCAGGTGTGTGCGGGTGTGTGTGTGTCGTGTCTGTGGTGCTCTGTGTGTGTGTGTGTCGGTCTCCGCGGTGGTGTGTCTCCTGCGGTGTGTGTGTGTGTGTGTGTGTGTGTGTGTCGGTCTCCGCAGTGGTGTGTGTGTGTCGGTTCCGTGGTGTGTGTGTGTCGGTCTGTGTGTGTGTGTCGGTTCGGTTCCCGGCCTCCGGGTGTGTGTGTCGGTCTCTCTGTGTGTGTGTCGGTCTCTGTGTGTGTGTGGTCTCTCTGTGTGTGTGTGTGTCGGTTCCTCTCTGTGTGTGTGTGTCGGTCTCTCTGTGTGTGTGTGTGTCGGTCTCTGTGTGTGTGTGTGTCGGGTCTCTGTGTGTGTGTGTGTGTCGTCTCTGTGTGTGTGTGTGTGTGTGGTTCTCTGTGTGTGTGTGTGTGTGTGTGTGGTTCTGTCTCTGTGTGTGTGTGTGTGTGTGTGTGTGTCTGCCTCTCGTGTGTGTGTGTGTGTGTCGGTCTCTGTGTGTGTGTGTGTGTGTCGGTCTCTCTGTGTGTGTGTGTGTGTCTGTGTGTCGGTCTCTCTGTGTGTGTCGGTCTCTCTGTGTGTGTCGGTCTCTCTGTGTGTGTCGGTCTCTCTGTGTGTGTCGGTCTCTCTGTGTGTGTGTGTGTGTCGGTCTCTCCTGAATGGTTGGCCTCTGAATTCCTTTCAGAAGAGACCGAGCATGTGTATAGTGTCCTGAAAAGGACAGATTTCTCCAAGGCCCTATTATTTTGACATGCTTAGTAGTTGCTCTCAAAATGGCTTCTATAGACAGCCACCAATCATCTTTAACAATTGCAGAAACAGCACAGATTTCAAAAATTTATTTATTTATTTTTGCCGGCTTTTGGATCAGCAGCAAGCACAGATGCGCTAATGGCTGAATGTGATGGAGGCATGTTCTTTGTCATTTAATAGAAAAATCTCAGGCACTCACTGCGATTGTTTCCAGGTAGATTTATTGCAACGTTTCAACCTGTTACGGTCTTTATCAAGCTTGATAAAGACCCTAACAGGTCGAAACATTGCAAAAAATCTGCCTGGAAACAATCGCAGTGAGTGCCTGAGATTTTTCTATTTGTACATATTCCTTGGGGTTTTTGCTGACCCATGCTCAGTAGCACCCTGGGCTGAATTATGGCTGAGTGCGACCCTACCCTTTTTCTCTTTGTCATTTAATAACATGTTTGACATATGGTGTAATTTGTTTGTATATCTACTATAGTAGGTTCTTCTTTGCTAAACACTGAAGGGGACAAAAGTGTTTAATATTTCTTATTTTGATCCTTATTTACTGCATCCCTATCTCTGATTTCAGTCACCAAACACTTTCGTTCTTGAGTATTTCAGAATATATGTACAAAATAATGCAACTTTTTGGGGTTGGTTTTGCTTTCTTTTGCAGGCTCTCCTTTTCAAACCCAACTAATTCCTCTTTTGCCAGTATTGTTTAAAACCTTATCTTGGTTACAAAGCCACATGTTTTGTGTGGTGTGTTTATTTATATATTTTTTTCAAATAAGATTTTCTGCCTGTTAAGGAGTTGTAAAGCTACCCTTATCTTATTAAAAATAATCACTATTCAGAGATTACCAGATCCAAACATCCATTCAAGCTAGTGATTTTAACAAAGACATGAATGTGCCATTTAATAAGAAAAAAAACAAAAACTTTCCCCTGTCTGAACTATTCCCTCTATACTAGTGAATTTAAATTCCCAGTGATTAAAGTCTTGGTAATAACTGAACAAAAAAAAACTGCACATCTGGATAACTTTTGTTTTTTTTTGTTTGTTCCTTAACACCTTCACATTTTCCTTTTTATCATGTACAATTACCTTAAAGGGACAGTTTAGTCACCTTAAGGCACCATGGCAACATCATCTAAATGAAGTTATGGTGCCAGGAGGCACCCGGTGCACTCTTACCTCAAGGGGTTAAACTGCTATCAAACAGTTTGACCCCAAAGTTGCCTCCAGCGCCGATCTCAACATCCCCCCAGACCGCATCCCGTTTCTGAAATTTCACTTTCAGCAAGCACAGAGTGCAGGCATCCGTTGACCGCTCTCGGCTAATTAGTGACTCCCCATTAATAAAACTGGCTAAGTAAAGGTATGTTTCTTTCCTAGTCAGTTCTGTAAATGGGGGGTCACTGACTGGCAGAGTGCGGTCAGCTGATCGCTGTCCTCCAATCAGTGGCGGCACTCTGTTTCCTGAAAGTGAAATTTGGAGGCAACTTTGGGGTTAAACCGTCGAGTAGTTGGCCGCCAGGAAGTGCCACTAGAGGCAGTCTTAGGCCTGCAACATAATTATTGCAGCTTCTCAAAAACCCTTTCATGTCTCATTAGAGACTTCTATACTTTGTCTGATACCAGCAAAGTTTATTGAATGTGTAGAAGCCCTATAAAGGGTTAAATGTTAAAGGATTTATAAAATACCCCTTCCTGTCTCACTGGAGACTCTTGGCTGATATCAGCATATCTAATGGCTAGTGTAGGAACTCACCTATTGAGGCTTGCCTTGACGTGGCAGGTGAGCTTATATATTCAAATGGCCATTAGAATTAAACTAAAGAGCCTCCATTTTTGTTTAAATGCACATGGGGATTTAGGCCAGAGCGCAGGTAACATTTTCTTTGTTTTTCTCAAAAACATTGCAGGACTATTTGGGACAATGAGCGGAAGTAGTCTGAATGACTACAGTGTCCCTTTATGTTAACTGCCAGGTTATGTGTTTCATCCCACCATGTTTTAATCGTACCTCGTGTCATACTTTTTCAAATGCCATTAACTCTAGCTACTCTGTTTTATTATTCACGCTTCTTGTATTAACATTAGCCTTTGATCCTGTATTAATTTTTTTTCATATATCTGCTCTGCTGATCTCGCCACTCTCCCTCCAATTTCCACCCCTTTAATTTTCCCTCAGCAAATGAAATCTCTCTTATATTCTATCTACATTATAAAACCTTTAATTTCCTTCCACTTCTACTTTAGTCTCCATTACAGCCATAAAGATTTTATTCAATGCAAAATCCGTAACATCCGGTACCAAGACTTTGTGCATTGATCTCTCTAATTTCTTGCTGCTTTTCCACAGTAGTGCCTGGCACAGGTAGTATCGTAGACAATACTACCTTGGAGGTTCTCTTAAGTTTTCCAACTAACTTTCTGAACTCCTTATACTGGATCCTGTTTTTTTTTTCTATAGTAGTATCTAAAGGTGATGACATCTCTCATCTGAGGGAGGGTGTTTATGAACATAAATAGGCAGGTGAAAAGTTAAGTCAATGCTTAGACACTAAGCTTGTATTGCACTATTATTGTGTTACCAAACATATTGCTGTTTTCTGTGCTCTCTAGGACTGAACATGTACTATTCTCAGCTCTCACCCCATTGATAACTCTGTACAAGACCTTTGGCGTACCCTGCTTTGACAACAATCATCAGATTACGCCTTACTCTGGATTTGGACTGATGTGCGTGGTACATAGTATTTTGGCTTTGTTTGCATGGACTACAGAACTCATGGATTCTCCCTCAATTTAACTTTGGACTCCTTAAGCTGTTGGCTATCTGGACTCGTGGTTTAAAAACTCTCCACAGGTCTACTCCTTTATACTGTGTGGCAGGCCTCAGATTCATATAAAGAATTATTCTTTGTATATTCGTTTCCCTTTTTTAATAATAGCACACTTGAGTGTGCTTGTGTTTTTTTTTTTTTAAATGGACTAATATATGGTTATCTTGAACTTTACATACAGCAGCTCTGCAGTTCCTGTATATGCATTCATCATACGAGTTAATAACCATTTTGCTGGGAAATTAATAATTGAAGTTCCTTTCCCTCTGACAAATCCTCAAGGTACTGAAATCTTCTAACCGTTTTGTTTCATTACCTTTTAGTTTTGCCTTAAAGCGATTGCGAAATGTTATTGTATCTTTGTATTGATACAAGATAGCCCCATTTTTGCAAGTTAATTATGTTACGTTAATCAAGTACAACCTATCCTTCATCCCCACATCTTGTCATTAGTTTGTTTTTTATTTATTTTATCTGTTGAGTTTTTCCACAATATTGTGCTTTATCAAGAAGTACCATATCATGTACCATGGATCCTGTTCTACTTAATAACACCCTGGGAACCATTACCTCACGCCTGGATCACTTGACTCAGTCTGTTCAGAACTTACAGTTGAAAACTATTGATTTACAAAATCAATTATTAACTTTGCAAAACCAGACGCATCACACTCCTTTTATTATGGAACCTCAAATGGTTCTTCCGGAAAAGTTTTCTGGTGAACGTTCTCAATATAGAACCTTTATAAATGAATGCAATCTCCTATTCTGTCTCAAACCTAGGACTTACAACTCTGATCAGGTCAAAGTCCGTACCATAATTTCACTCCTAAATGGAGAGCCTGCTAAATGGGCCCACCAGTTATTGGAAACTGATAATCCTATATTAAATTCCTTGGAAAACTTTATTCAGGAAATGTCTCAAATTTATGATGATACAGTTTATACTGCAGAGACTGATATAAGAGGAAAAACACAGAGGCGTTCTCCTGTGGAAGACTACATTGTTTCTTTTAGAAGATGGTCTGGGGACACATCCTGTAATGAAACCGCATTAAAAAACCTATTCTACATTGGGCTCTCAGAATACCTTAGAGAAGAATTCGCAAGGACTGGAATACCTGTCAGACTTACAGAATTAATGGATATGGCTATAAAACTTGACAGGAGGCATAAAGAGCAAAATATAGAAAATAACTCTTCACCAAAGCCCTTATTGACATCTCCTGCTGTAGAACCTGTCAAATCTGAAGCTATGGAGGATGCTGTTATAAGTTCTCCTCTAAGGGAGGATGAAGAGAAAAGACAGCCATGCTGTCTGTACTGTACCGGTCCTGATCATATGTTGGTGAACTGTCCTCTGGCAAAGTGGAACAAATCTGGTAAGCTGAATATTTTTGTTCAAACCTGTTCATCCTCTCAATACCTCAATTTGTTTACATCTTTGACTTTCTACTTCACTTTGGTGCAAGTCCCATCCATTTAACTGCATTATTCCAATCTGATGCTAGTAAATAATTTTTTTTGTCAGGGACATAGTTGCTCACTTATCTATCCCAACAATTAGTAGGTTTCAGTGTTATCTCCTCTCCATTGTTAAAAATTGTAAAGCATGCACGATGTCTTTTTACTGAAACCAGAGACACTACTCTACTACACAATAGGTCATATAATGGTTCATTAGACCAAAATTACAGAGAAGGGAATTAGTGGAAGACTACTATTATACATTATTGATATTTTGAATACCTGTTTATGCATCTTGAGTTGCTGAATGTTCCTGCCTTCTTCCAGTACTTTAAGGTTGTTAGAGGCTGTCCTGTATAATGTGTAGTTTACATACTTGGATAATTAGGTTTACTTATCCTCTCTGGCCAAACATCAGTTACATATAAAGAATGTTCTTTATTGACTGGGAACATATTCTTACACAAAACCAAAATTTGTATCTTTAAATTTCAGGTGGTACCCTTTCTCCATTAATATGGATCCTTCTAAAGTTAAAGTGATTTATTGGCCAAAAAAAGATATGCAAAGATTCTTGGGATTCTTGGCACTTTATATAAACAATTTAAAGAGTTCTTAACACCCTACATTATGGAGGGAGGGGGGAGAGTTGTGTTAAATTGAGTGTGAATTCCCATTTGTGTTGCATGTTCCATGCGTGTTTGATGATATTGTATTCTGAGCCCAAAGTCAAATCTGTTCCATTAGGCAAACATAGTTTATCACAAAAAAAAAATTGCTGGAACTTTTAGCATGCATATACACTTTTAAAAATATGATATTTGTATATTTTGTGCATGAGAACAATATATATGTCATTTTTTTTTTTTTAATTTAAGAGCCTTGACATGAACTCTCCCTCTAAACACCTATCTCTAAGTAGACAATACTCTTTAAAAAAAAAATAAAGCAAAAAAAAAAAAAAGCAAATTAAGTTGATGGTATAAGCTTGGTTTCTGATCGCAAGTCTGCTCTGAATAGAACAGGAAATAGTCCCCATTTGATTTTTAACTTCAAGTTTTAGATTTAAAAAGAAATGGGTCATTGACATGGCTCAATAGGGAAAAGATTGTAATCATTATCTTTCAAAACCTATGCTCACTATCTACAGGTGATCCCTCTGACATGTGTAGCAAATCACCTATGTAAGGTTTGAAAAGGATAAACCTGAAAAGTAGGTGACTACTTCTAACGATGCTCAACATCTCCCATCAACCCAGAGAGAGGTTGGCATAGGAGGCGGCACATTTTATGCTCATAGGTTTCCCACACAAATGGAGCTTGTATCCAACATCAAACAAAGTCACCAAAAGGAAAGCCATCAAAACACATTTATAAAATCTTTATCATAAATTAAATATCACTCAAGAATAATAGTGGACTGCCTCCAGCTATGCATTATCAAAAGCAAACCATATCCATGGTTGTTCTCTGCTGTGAAGAAATGAACACTTTTTTGAGATACAAGGATATATTTGGTATCCTAAAGATAAGAGTGGACCCAAGACTAGAGACTGAAGAAATGCATCCATAAATTCAGAAGTTCATAGAGAGCTCGAATTCCCACAAAAACTGATATATCCAATGGAAGAATATCACACTTATGAACCTCTGTAAATAGATTTAAAAAAAAAAAATGTCATATTTAAAAATTCCCCAGTATCTGGTGTTAGGATCCAACTATATATTGCTTGGGCTAGCAAAGAAAATAAGATTTGACATTCATTAGAAAGGTCCATATGCAGTGGTGCATACTCTGAAATATCCGATAACGGTTCCCTTGCTTTATTCATTTATTCTTGTTTACTTTGCATCAACTGGCATCCACGCTTATCTGTCTGACAAAACTGTCAGTGTAATTTTGAAGTTCCAAAAGTACGGTCATTCCTGAAACCTACGAATTGGTTATTTTTATTACATAAGAAGGCAGGGCCTGATTATCATAGGGGCGGATGGCGCTCCAACTCCAGGCCTATCCTGCTATGATAGGCACACACTACTGTCAATCTTGTAGCTGGCCCGTCCCTCTTCTCCTAATTGAGCTCTGGTTGAGCTGCACACTAGGACTAGCCCTCTGATATCAGGAAATGTATTTGCAGTCTGCAATCTTGTTGGAATGATGCTGGTATGGCAATGCTGCTGTAGACTGCAGGGAGGAGAGTGATATATCTACCCAATGGTAAGTTGGGAAAAATGTCTACAAGTAGGGATGCACCGAAATGAAAATTCTAGGCCGAAACAGATATTCATGCACATTAACACACAGATGCATATAAATTCACGACATAGACACCGACACATGCACCCTGATACATGTCCACACCATGACACAGATACACACACTGATACACAGAAGCACATACACAGATGTGTGCGCACACACAGACACAGAAGCACACTGACATATATACATGCAGATGTGCACACACTCAAACACCTACACACACACACTCAAATACACACATAAACACTCAAACACAAACACATGCACTCATACATACAATCATACACACACTAATATTCACACACACTCACTCATACATACTCACACTGATTTTTTTTTGATTTTTTTTTTAAGAGGTGATTATTTTTTAATATTTCTAGCCACCCTCTTGTTAGCTTACCTTGTGTGTCCAGGAGGGTGGCTTGGAGTGAAGGGATCTAGAGCTCTTCGTGCTCCTCTCCCTCCCGCACTGTCCTTCTTCATGACGCTGGAAGTGACAGGCTGTCACTTCCTCCCAGTCGGCCGACATTACAGGGGCCTGGTCGCGGTCTTAAATGACCGTGGCACTCGACAGAGTCCCTGTTGAGCAGTAATGTTTCCATGGTGCTATAATCATAGCATTGGGGAAATATAACGCGGCACCCTTGTGTGCATGTCGCGACGCCCTTTATTACTGCCCTCCCACAAGTCCTTTAAAAAAAATGCATTTCTCCTTCAATATGCATGGCACATGCTCTGTCTCTACAAATGCATTCAACAGGCAGACATGTTGAACATTCTGACATAGAACTTCACAGTATGTTACTTATATCCTGAGTCAGAACAGCCAACACTTTATTGCAAATTAAGGATACTTATAAACAGCCTAACCAGCTCATAGACACTGCTCCTGACGATGGGGTGCTGACATGCCGAAAAGCACTAGCTTTAGTTAATAGTAAATAAAACTTATTTTAGTTAGGAGTCTGGTTTTTCCCCAACCACAAAAATACAATTCTTAAAGGAACACTATAGTCACCAGAACCACTGTAGCTTAATGTAATGGCTCTGGTGTTTATAGCCTGTTCCTTTAAGAATTGTATATTTGTTGTTGGAAAAACAAACTCCTAACTAAAGTTTCTGCAATCTAGACTGTAGCGGATGGCACTGGGCTGTCCTGCAAATGTCTTGTGAATAGCTGCATTCGTGTAAATTGCTGGGTTTTTGTATGTGTTTAAAAGAATTGTATTCCTCTGATTGTTCGGTAGAATCATTCGAATAGACTAAGGGAATGAAACTACCGAACAATCAGACCTCCCCTGTGTGAATTGTGTCCTCAATTACCCGTTGCAACATTGTTGCGAACGGGTAATTGACAAGTTAAGTAGCCGTCCTTTGTTCTCGGGGGTGGCCACCATTCGACAAACGAACACATGGCGGCGGCCATTTTAAAACTCCCGAACAGCGGTGTTTTGCCGTCGAGTGTCTGGAACTCAAATCGGACACTCGACTAGGCGAACACCGCTGAAACCTCCACAAGCCCGGTCCGTTCGGTTCCTAACTACCGAACGGCCCCTCGTTCGGTAGACAGGAAGAACCGAACGAGGGGATTCAGGCGAACCCTCCCTAGCCTCTATAGCTAGAGGCTTTCGTACAGTTTGTTCCCTTATTCCAGGACCGACCGCAGGGCCCATTCGCATGGAACCGCATTCGGCTATCTCAGTCAGTGCGGTCGGTCATTTTATTCCCTCCATACATTTCCCGAACCCTGGTCTGATCTGGGTGATTTTTGGATATGTTGTTCACCCAGATCAGGGCTATCAGGGGATGTAGGATTTAAAGGGGTACCCCTACGTTTAGGGGTACATCCAGAAACGGGGGAATTGCTAGACTGGATAAGGGGATTATGATGCAGGCGGAGGGGAGGAGATGTGTGGGAGGTTACCAGGACAGGATTGGCTACTATACTAATGATTGTAAATCGCTCCCTTGCATGGGAGCATGCTTTAAAAGGACAGTGTGGATTAAAAGATTTCAGTTCTGCTCCTGAAACTGTGTGTCGTCCAGTTATTGGGATTGCTGTTGGGATATTGCTGTTATTTTACCTGCTGGAAACCTTGCCTGTGGATTTACTATTTACTTGTTCCTGAGCCACTTGGATTATAAGCGGAGATAACCTGGGGAATATTGCATCTCCGCTACATTGGTTGGCAGCGGTGGGATCCAGACTCACAGAGGAACAAGTATAAATGGAGTACGGATGGAGATTGATTTTGCCACACTAAAACGCTCCACGCTAAAAGACCTCCTGGAGGCAAGGGGTATACAAACCAGCAACAAGAAGAAAGCGGTACTCATTACTGAACTTATGGCGGAGTACCGAATGGATGGCGATTCGGTTCCCGAACAGGGGGATTCAGGAGAAACACCGGAACAAATGGAGTTCCAGAGGCAGCTACAATTTCGGCTGTCTTTCTATGGGGAACACCCTCCAGCAGAGATTATTTCAAAAACTATGACGGAGGTCCAGGAATTCATATTGAGAAAACAAACAGCAGCCCCAGAACGCAGCTCTGCAGTAAATATGCCACAAGAAGGTAAGCCTAAGATACCATACCAGGCTTTTAAAATGTATGTGGAGGCAGAGGAAGATATAGACGCTTTCCTGCAAGATTTTGAGAGACTGTGTGCACTGCATAGAATCAGCGCAGGGGACTGGGTACCCATTTTGGCAGGAAGGTTAACTGGGAGGGCAGCCGAGGCATACCGTACTGTACCCAATGAAGAGATACGGAATTACAGTAAAGTTAAAGAAATTATACTGGCCAGGTATGCTATAACACCGGAAGCATACCGGCGGAGATTCAGGGACTTAAAGAAGGTGGAGAAAGATTCACACGCAGAGTGGGCATGCAGATTACAACGGGCAGCACTTGGGTGGGTGCAAGCGAGCAAGGCACGGTCCATGGAGGATGTAATACAGATGATGCTGATGGAGCAATTTTATGAGGGAGTAACCAGCGATGTTCAGGAGTGGGTAAGAGACAGAAACCCTACCTCTCACCGAAGCTGCCAGGAAGGCAGATGAGTACCTGGATGCACGCAGGCAGCAAAAACCTGCAGCTCCAAAAGCCATTTTAAAACCTTTGGGGGAACCAGCTACACCCCGGCTCCACCGGGACCCCTGCCACCACCGCCCGCTGCACAGCCATGTTTCCGCCAGCCCACGTCTGGCCCCTGTCACCACTGCCAGAAATGGGGACATTATAAAAGGGAATGCCCCCAGCTGCGGGATCGTTCCACCTGGATCCATCCCGGTCCACCCCCACCACCGAGAGCAGCCGCAGCCCACCACTACCAGGATATCGTGGCCACACCATATGGCTCAGCGGTTCCCATTACAACCGTGGAACAGTGGGAAGTACTGCACGAGGCGGATCCAGTCCATGCCAATGCTGACAACCGACAGCATCACAGGCAGACCGTATATCTGGAGGGTAAAGCGGTCCAGGGTCTACGCGACTCAGGGGCTACCATCACCCTGGTAAAGAGTCACCTGGTTTCAGATCAGGCTAAACTAAGCAAGACTGTGGCCGTCAGGGTAGCCGGGGGAGCAATATACCGGCTACCTACAGCAAGGGTACATTTGCATTGGGGAGCGGGGTCAGGACATGTGGAGGTGGGGTTGATGCCGCAGTTACCGGCAGAGGTTTTATTGGGGAATGATCTGGGGAGGCTCACGTCTGCTTTTGAGCCCCAGACACCCACCACAGGAGGAGCTCACCCTGTGGTCACCCGACAACAGGCCCGCACCCAGGACTACAACACACTGCCGGAGGTTCAGGTAAGAGATCCTTCCCCTTCCCTTGACTGTGTTCCCTGGGCCCCTCCTAACGAATTTGCAGCTGAGATAGTGACTGACCCCACCTTGCAGGTGTATAGGGACAAGGTGACAGCATACACTCCTGGGGGAGATGGAGAGAGATTTGTCTGGGACAAGCAGCTTTTGTACAGGGAGACAGACAAGCAGATTGCTGGGTCAGACCCAATAGTGATGAGGCAGCTAGTGGTGCCGCAGCGGTACCGAGCAGAGCTACTCCGGATAGCGCACGATATTCCGCTATCCGGACATCTAGGGGTCAGTCGCACTAGGTACCGACTGACCCAAAGTTTCTTCTGGCAAGGGATCAGGTATTGCACCACCTGCGATACCTGCCAAAGGGTAGGGAAAAGGGGAGACCGGAGGAAGGCGAAACTACACCCCCTTCCCATAATTGAGGAACCTTTTAGCCGAATAGCGGTAGATTTGATAGGCCCCCTCAAGAAAGCTAGCCCGTCAGGCAAAAGGTACATTTTAACGGTAGTAGATTATGCTACTAGATATCCAGAGGCAGTGGCTCTGACCAACATCCACGCTGAAACGGTCGCGGATGCCCTCATGCAGATATTCTCCCGGTTGGGATTACCCAGGGAGATTATCTCGGATCAGGGTACCCAATTTACCGCAGAATTCACCCAACACCTCTGGAGGATCTGTGGCATTAAGCCTATTATCAGTGCCCCTTACCACCCCCAGACTAATGGGCTCTGAGAACGGTTCAATGGTACATTGAAACAAATGCTCCGAACCTTCGCAGAGACCCACAAGGACTGGGAGCGGTTCCTGCCGCATCTCCTGTTCGCTTACCGGGAGGTGCCGCAGGAATCCACGGGGTTTTCCCCGTTTGAACTGCTATTTGGGAGGAGAGTCAGAGGCCCATTAGATCTTATAAGAGAGCATTGGGAGGGAGAAGGAGCGCAGATGGCACTCCCATCATACCATATGTGTTGGCCCTCCTGGACCGCCTGGAAGCATTGACTAGGACGGTAAGGGAAAACCTTCAGGTGGCGCAGACCCGCCAGCGCACATGGTATGATCGGGGAGCCAGTGACCGTAGCTTTCAGGTCGGGCAGAAAGTGCTAATTTTAAAGCCTGTCCGACATGACAAGCTACAGGCCGCCTGGCAGGGACCTTATAGGGTGGTGGAACAGAGATGTGACACCACCTAAATAATCGGTCCCTGCACAGGGACGGGAGGGCGACGCATGCTCCATGCTCCATGATGAAGCCCTACCAGGAGCGCTCCGAGGAGGTAACCGCCATATGTGCGCCCAGTTCTGACGAGTTTGACAGCTTACCACTCCCAGATCTGCTGGGAGATGGGCAGCTGTCTGGGGATTTAGGGGAGGTTGCACTGGGAGACCGGCTGAGCCCACAGGAGCGTATCGAGGTACAGCGGCTGTTAGAGGAGAAACGAGACACGTTCTCTAATGTACCTGGGTACACCCCTCTGGCCACTCACCGGGTAGAGACCCCAGGGCAACTACCCATGTGCCAGACCCCCTACCGCATCCCGGAAGCGGTGAGGGAACACATGCGCAAGGAGATCGATGAGATGCTCCAACTGGGGGTGATTGAGCCCTCAGTCCCTGGGCTTCTCCTGTAGTGCTCGTACCGAAGCGGGACGGTACGAGCCGCTTCTGCGTAGACTACCGGAGATTAAACGAGAAAACGGTGTCCGATGCATACCCTATGCCACGGATAGATGAGCTACTGGACAGAATGGCCAGGGGTCAATATCTCACTACTATTGACTTATGTAAGGGGTATTGGCAAATCCCCCTGGCCCCAGATGCCATCCCTAAGTTGGCCTTTGTCACCCCATTTGGCTTGTACCTGTTTAAGGTCATGCCATTTGGGATGAAAAACGCCCCAGCTACTTTCCAGACGATGGTAGACCGACTCCTGGATGGGTTCCAAGACTACACCTGTGCCTACCTGGACGATATTGCCATTTTTAGCAATACGTGGCAGGAGCACTTGGCCCATATAGGAGCGGTACTAGACAGGATTAGGGAAGCTGGTTTGACACTGAAACCGGCCAAGTGCAGCATAGGGATGGCCGAGGTGCAGTACCTCGGACATAGAGTGGGGTGCGGCAAACAGAAGCCCGAACCAGCCAAAGTAGAGGCTGTGGCCCAGTGGCCCACCCCTAGGACTAAAACCTAGGTTTTAGCATTTCTAGGGACCGCTGGGTATTACAGAAAATTCGTCCCTAACTATAGTGCCCTAGCCAAGCCCCTCACTGACCTTACCCAGAAGAATTTGCCCCGCCAGGTGACCTGGACCCCGGAGTGTGAGCAGGCATTCCAACATCTGAAAAATGCACTGATAAATGCCCCTGTCTTGGCAGCTCCCAATCCAACTAAACGTTTTCTTGTTCACACAGACGCTTCTATGTTTGGATTGGGAGCAGTACTGAGCCAAGTCGGGGCCGATGGTGGAGAACACCCCGTGGCTTACATCAGTCGCAAGCTGTTACTCCGAGAAGTAAGCTACGCCGCCATCGAAGGAATGCCTGGCTGTGGTGTGGGCCTTAAAGAAACTGTCTATATGGACAGCCCTTTTCCTTACTCACGGATCACAACCCGCTGGTATGGCTAAACCGGGTGGCTGGGGACAATGCCAGGCTGCTGCATCCTTTTGACTTTACTATTCAGTACCGCCCGGGTAAACAGAATGGGAATGCCGACGGGTTGTTGAGACAAACTGACCTGGAAAAATGATCCGTGAGTCCCCGGACATCCCCAAGCCGATCCGTGTTGGATCAGACTGTGTATGCCGGCTTGTGGGCAAGGGGGAGCAGTGTAGCGGATGGCACTCGGCTGTCCTGCAAATGTCTTGTGAATAGCTGCATTCGTGTAAATTGCTGGGTTTTTGTATGTGTTTAAAAGAATTGTATTCCTCTGATTGTTCGGTAGAATCATTTGAATAGACTAAGGGAATGAAATTACCGAACAATCAGACCTCCCCTGTGTGAAGTGTGTCCTCAATTACCCGTTGCAACGTTGTTGCGAACGGGTAATTGACAAGTTAAGTAGCCGTCCTTTGTTCTCGGGGGTGGCCGCCATTCGACAAACGAACACGTGGCGGCGGCCATTTTAAAACTCCCGAACAGCGGTGTTTTGCCGTCGAGTGTCTGGAACTCAAATCGGACACTCGACTAGGCGAACACCGCTGAAACCTCCACAAGCCCGGTCCGTTCGGTTCCTAACTACCGAACGGCCCCTCGTTCGGTAGACAGGAAGAACCGAACGAGGGGATTCAGGCGAACCCTCCCTAGCCTCTATAGCTAGAGGCTTTCGTACAGTTTGTTCCCTTATTCCAGGACCGACCGCAGGGCCCATTCGTATGGAACCGCATTCGGCTGTCTCAGTCAGTGCGGTCGGTCATTTTATTCCCTCCATACATTTCCCGAACCCCTGGTCTGATCTGGGTGAATTTTTGGATATGTTGTTCACCCAGATCAGGGCTATCAGGGGATGTAGGATTTAAAGGGGTACCCCTACGTTTAGGGGTACATCCAGAAACGGGGGGAATTGCTAGACTGGATAAGGGGATTATGATGCAGGCTGAGGGGAGGAGATGTGTGGGAGGTTACCAGGACAGGATTGGCTACTGTACTAATGACTGTAAATCCCTCCCTTGCATGGGAGCATGCTTTAAAAGGACAGTGTGGATTAAAAGATTTCAGTTCTGCTCCTGAAACTGTGTGTCGTCCAGTTATTGGGATTGCTGTTGGGATATTGCTGTTATTTTACCTGCTGGAAACCTTGCCTGTGGATTTACTATTTACTTGTTCCTGAGCCTCACTTGGATTATAAGCGGAGGTAACCTGGGGAATATTGCATCTCCGCTACATAGACACTAAAGAGTCTATTTTCATTCAGCATCTCCACGCTCTGCGTGGTGCAGCTGAACGTTCCCCATAGAGATGCAGTGATTTGAAGCATCTTTATGAGGAGATGATTAGTGCAGCATTTTGCAGCGAATGCTCAATAGCTTCCCAATGCTTTCCTATGCAAAAGTATTGGATTGGCTCAGATCATCAAAATTATCTCGGCTATGGAGGCATGCCAGCCGCAGTGAAAAACACCATTCCCATGTGACTGAAGGGGAGCTGGTGACCTAAACATGTTAATGCACTGACAGACAGATACACATACACCTACACAAACAAACACACACACATACACACACCTACAGAATGACACATACTCAGATATATGTACACACGCTCACTGATACACTCTCTCACACACTCAAAGAATTTTTGTTTTTATACACACACGCAGATTCATAGATACACAAATACACATACAGACATATACACACACACACACAAAGATAAATATATTGCCACCCTCCTCTTACCTACTTTGTGGGCACAGGAGGGGCTTTTCCTGGGTCCAGTGGGACTGGGAGCAGGTTACAGTGGGGCTGGATGAGGCTGATAGGAGTGGGCTGCCACTGATCCAGACTCCCACTCTCCTGTCTGTGTTATCTCAGTGCGCCAGGAGGAAGTGAAAGGAACTTAACTACAGTTAAACCTAATTTTCGGTTTACAAATGAAAATCCATTGAAAATAATGCCTCAGTTTACAATTTTTTTTCCGCAATACAAAGAAAGCTTCCCTAGGATGCATTGCACCTGGGAGGTTTATAGCACCGCCCCCTGCATGCTGGAGCCAGTGGGTAGCACGTGGCGTCAAGTGTGGAGGTGTTGGAGCGGCTTTTGCATCGAGTTTTGGAGACATTCTGAATAGGCGGGTGGGCGGCTCTGCGATCAGAGACATCTCAACCTGTTAGCTTGTCCTTCTCCGCGGTCTCAGCGCCGGGAGGAAGTAGTTACAGTTCCCTTCACTTCCTAGAGAGACAGGCGGAGGAGGGGACAGGGCTGACAAATCCCCGGCGCCAGAAAAAAATATTCTTAGCCGCCATGGCAAACTGGCGCCTGGGATTTGACAATGGAGTAAAATGCCTCCCAACCCAGAACTTCTCTCTCTTCCCTTCTCTCTCTCTCTCTCTTCCCTTCTCTCTCTCTCTCTCTCTCTCTCTCTTCCCCTCTCTCTCTCTCTTCCCCTCTCTCTCTCTCTTCCCCTCTCTCTCTCTCTTCCCCTCTCTCTCTCTCTTCCCCTCTCTCTCTCTCTCTTCCCCTCTCTCTCTCTCTTCCCCTCTCTCTCTCTCTTCCCCCAGCCCCCCCGCTCTTCCCCGGCTGGCTTTCCGCTCTTCCCCTGCCCTCACTCTCAACCAACCAAGGAAGTGATCTGTGACTGAGCACCATGGGACGTGGAATCCACAGCAGCCGGAGAGTTTCCTGTTACGCTCACCGCTGCCGAGCTGTTCCACTGGCATGGTGCTGGCTGGTACCACAGTCACTGGATTCTCCTGACCATACTCTCTGCACAGCCTTCAACCTCACTGGCTTGTGCCAAAGCAGCTCTGGATCTGGCGCGCTCGAGTCATGTGACGAGGCAGAAGCCCTCCACTCTTTCGACTCTCTTTGAAGAGTGCACAGCGGACCGAGGGAAACATCGCAAGACTTCCCATCCGTGCATTCCTGCATGTGCTAACAGTTTTTAGTTTTTTTGTTTTTGTTTTTTCTCTTTCTATGTGAGTGAAAGGGAGAACCCTGTGTCACATGGCAGTCAAGGGGAGCCACTGCGTGACATGTTCTAGAACTAGAGATTGAGAACTAGTTCTAGAACTAGAGAGAATGGATAGGCCCATTTTCGGTTGAAAATTTCAGTTCATCCCTAGCTACAAGTACCATCCACATGTTTTACAGCTGTCATCATGCTGAGTCTGAATCTAGCAGAGTTTGAGAGTTGCAAGCCAAAAAAACTTGTGTTGGTTGACAGTTGAGACAATCTTGTCATAAGATACTTGTATTGAGTACAACACTTCAGTTCAGTCAATGGAGAATGGAAGCCAGCATGTTTTTTGTTTTTGTTTTTTTTTAATACTGTAAATGAAGAATTAAAATGAGATGGGAGTGTGGCCAGCTGATGTGGAATGTTTGTGGGGAATTGCAGAGCATCTAGCAAAATGCAATGTATATGGGAATATGTAAATGTTTTTGAGAGAGATTGGTGGAAAGGAAAGACCAGAGTAAAATAAACTGGAAATAGGGACCGGTGAAAAGAAAGATGGTTTAAAAAAAAAAAAAAAAAATAGAATGGCATCAAATGGAAGATGAAAAAGGAAAAATGAAACTAACATTCAGTAATAAAAAAGAAAAAAGAAAAATAGAGCTAGACGCACTCTAGGTCTAGTGCTTGGGTGCTACATTCCCCACCTGTGAAACTAGGCTTAAGATTTTAGACCAAAGATAAACCATCTTGGACATCTAACATACTGCACTATATAAGTGTCTTATTTTGTTTTACTTTCTACACTATAGTCCCTTCCTTTTTGTCCTCTTTCCATTACATATCTCGGATTTGATTACCTTTTCAAGGTGCTGCTCCCCAACGCCATCTTCTCTATTATATTCCAGCAACCAGATAGGAGAGATTCTGGTTTGGTTTCTTAACGCTGCCTTCTTTATTTGGACAGTAAATACATTGTTGTGCAGTAGTGACTATTTAAATCTATAAAGCCAATAGAGGTATTCAAAGCTGTTGTGGGATCATCCTTGCTGTGGAAATGACACTAAACTGTTTTGTTTCCAAAAAAATGCAGGAAAAAGAAAGGAGAGAATCCCTTTATTTGCATTATATTAGAATAAATCTGTCAAAGTATAAATGTAAAATTACAGTGCCTTTTCCAATATTTGGCTAGGCAGCACCAGTGACCTCCCTCTTTCTATAGCAGTATAATAAACCAGGGGTTAACAAACTGGCTTTCAATCTAGGAGCCAGCTAAAAAAATAAGGAGCCAGTTTTTTCCCCAATGACAAAAATACAATTCTTAAAGGGACACTATATTTGCCAGAACTACTACAGCTTAATGTAGTGGTCTGGGGTCTATAGATTGTCCTTGCAGGCTTTTCAAAGTAAATTCTGCCTTTTCAGAGAAAAGGCAGTTTGCTGCCTAGTAACACCTCTGGTGGCCGTCACTCAAACGGCCACTAAAGTGTGTCCTACCTACATTCAGCGTCTTCACGCTCTGCATGGAGGCGCTGAACGTTCCCCATAGAGATGCATTGATTTATTACATCTCTATGAGGAGATTGATAATCTTAGCTATGGAGGCTGGCTGGCTGCAGCAAGACCGGCATAGTGTTGGGGAAAAAAGTAAGTAACACCATTCCCATGCGAGCAGAGGGGGCTGGTGACTTAAATGAACACGAAAACACACACACACACACACTCTCACACAGTCACACACACATCCACGCTGACACACTTTAACACAGTCACAAAGTATTATTTGATACACTCAAATGGATACACACGCACACAAAGATTCATAGATACACACAAACAGGCATAACAGATATATACACACAAATAAAAACAAGTATTTGTACCCACCCTCCTGTTTCCTACCTTTTGTGCTCAGGGGGTTGGCTTCCCTGCGGTCCAGGGAAGGGGATGATTTGCAAAGGTAGCAGACAAGAACCCTAAAGGTTTTGCAAGTTGTTTAAAGATTTACCCCAATGGAAAAATGCATAAATACATTTTAATTGTTCAATATGGATATAGTTACTACAGGGATTTTTTATTTTGTGTTTGTGTAGCAAAGTGTCCCTTTAAAGCCCTGCACTGCTGCATAAAGGTAATGTGGTTAACGCTCGTTGACCGCATACATCGGCATGTGTTTAAAGTGCAATATTCGCTACCTGAGGTCCTCTGTTATTGTGACATTACTAACCCAATCCTTGTGCTGGTCTGGGTCGCTCTTACTTCTGAGCGGTCCACATGCGCTGACCATAATGAATATTCGTGTGGCCCACCTAGTATTACTAAGAACACCGCTCGCATCACGAGCACACTGTTAAAGGGGCAATAGGGGCCTCATTGGTCCACGTCATTCCGGCGCCCCCATGCACGCACATTTTCGGGTCACAGGCATGAAGTGGACCTATCAAATGTTACATGATGTCACCAAACTTAAACGTCCCTAGCCCTATCTACTGTGCTCTATTGTGGTTCCTGTTCCCAATACCCTTTAGTGCATTCCTTGATCTATTGTGTATTATTCTGGTATTGATCTCGGCTTTGTTACTGGTCCAGCGTTTATCTTTAACCTTTTCCTGTGTTTGACTAATTTCTGTGTGCCTGACTATGGCTAGTTCTTGATTTCGCGGTCTCTCTGTTACCATTACCTTGGCTTGTTACAGACTACGCTTTTCTCTCTAACGTTAAGTGCAGCCATTCTAAGGCCCAGTAGTATGTTATTTCCTTGTTTCATCCTTTGCTATCATAAACTCTGCATTTTGGGGTTTTACCTCGTGACAGATGTGTGGTTACAATTAGAAACAAACAAATTGAAATTCCCCAGGCTGAGAGATCACACTCAGCTGTGGTGAATCTTGTGTTGCACACTGTGGAAGGGTGTCACCCAGGGACTTAAAAGACATTGACAGGGTTTTCTCGTGCTCACTGCTGACCGTGTTCAGCACTTTGCTTTGCCAGCTGCCCACCACCGTTCAATGCAGCTCAATAGTAAGACTTTGAAAGGTAGATGCTCAGGGAAAGTGCCTGCCTCTTGAGTTTACTCCACTGAGCTAAACAAACCAGGTAATGGTTTGCCCCATTAGAGCCCAGCTCTATGATACTACTCACATCCTAATCACTACAATGGGCTGTGGTAATTGATAAAGTAGAAAAACACCTTTTATGCTTTTAAAAGGTAAATAGTAAATGTATATTTGCCAAAAACAAGTTATATGACCTAAAGATACAGTTGAAAGGATCCACCACCAGGTTATTATACATTTACTATATACCTTATGAAGCATAATAAAAATGTTTTTCTGATTTTTGAAACTACGGTAAGAGTGTATGAGTGCGTTTTGTTTTTTTGTATTATTTTGGAGATATACTCCTTAATAGCAGCACGTTTAAGTCAGGAGAGTGGCAGCATTTATTTACATTATGGCTATTGATGCTTTTGAGTAACCATTTAAGAAAGTTATGCTGCTAATTAGATATTATACATCATAGGTTATTTTGTTTTAATCAATGTTTTTTTTTCCCCTCCATTCAATAGATATCACTATGGGAAGTAATACAATTGAAGAACTTAAGAACCTCATGGACTCATCAGATTCTGCCAGTGATGAGAAGACTGATGTTAAAATTGCTCCAGAAATAAATTGTATAAGAAAAAATAATCAAAGAAAGAGGAAAAGATTTGTAATAAATAAAGGACAAGAATATGCTTTATCTGTAAAAGCTGAAGACTCTGATCCTGATCTTTATATAAAGACCGTATATACCTCTCATTCTGGTATGGAATCAGACTTGTGTAGAGAAGAAAATCTTAGCAGTGGCCATATTTACACCATAAATCAACAGACCGAATATAGATCTCCTATTAAGGAGGAATTTGCATCATGCAGAAGCCTGTGTGTAGAACCTTTTTCTGAACCTGAATTCCATACTGTAAAGGCAGAATCCACAGCAGAGACGCATTGCCTCTCTACTGATAATAATGAAGTATCAGCCTCATGTGAAGAGCATCTGGAGGACAATTATGGAAAGGCTTCACAGACAGACTTGGCATCTCTTATCATTAAAGAGGAATCTGCCTCATGGGATGAAGGAGCTTATAGTGACACATGTACAACAACAGATACAAATACAAAAACAGAATATATACCTAGTAATCACAGTAAGGAAAGAGACACATGTGAAAAAAGTTTTTGCAGTACTGATATTGATACACCTGAAAGAAATACACAAACAGACTCTATGAATTTCAAAGGTCCGATATCATCCGGTAAAGGACGTTTTGAAGGTTCTGAAATGGAATATACATCTTTTGTTATTAAAGAGGAATGTTCCTCAGGGGAAGAAGAAAATGATTATGACACTGATCTCTGCACATCCTCAGATCACACACAGCCAGATTATTCATCTGTTCACATTAAGGAAGAATCCACAGGGGATGAAGGGAATCTCACAGATACTGACAGCTATACATACCCAGAACATAATCAGACAGAATCTACATCTGCTGAACTTAAGAATGAATCTACATCAATTAAAGATGTAATTAGCGAGAAATCACATAACACACAGAGGATGCATAACTGTTCTGAATGTGGAAGAGGTTTCACCCATAAGTCAGATCTTGCTATACATCAGAGACGTCACACTGGAGAGAAACCATTCCCCTGTTCAATATGTGGGAAGTGCTTTGCTACTAAATCTGATTGCACAGGACATCAGATAGTTCACAGAGAAGAACGACCATTTGTGTGTTCTTACTGTGGGAAAAGTTTTAAAACCAGATCACATGTTGTGACACATCAGAGAATTCACACTGGAGAGAAACCATTCTCATGTTCTGTATGTGGAAAATACTTTAGCCAAAGCTCATACCTTATGTCACATAGGAAGACTCACACTGGTGAAAGGCCATTCCCATGTAATGTATGTGGAAAGCGGTTTACTAAAAAGTCAAGTCTTGTTACTCACCAGAGGATTCACACAGGAGAGAAGCCATTTTCGTGTACTATGTGTGGTAAATGTTTTACTGATAAAACAGGTCTGATATATCATGAAAAGGTTCATGTAGGGGAGAAACCATTTTCATGTTCTGTATGTGGGAAATCATTTACTGATAGAACAGGTCTTGTGTATCATGAAAGAATTCATACAGGAGAGAAACCATTTTCTTGTTCCGAGTGTGGGAAAGCTTTCATTTGTAAGTCTGGTCTTGTTTCCCATCAGAGGATCCACACGGGAGAAAAGCCATTCACTTGTTTGGAATGTGGAAAATGTTTCAACAAGAAAGGAAATCTTGTTAAACATCGGCTGCTTCATACAGGAGAGAACCCATTCTCATGTTCTGTATGTGGGAAAGGCTTTTCTGTAAAATCTAAGCTTGTGAGACATGAGAAGATTCATACTGGTGAGAAACCATACTCATGTACAGAATGTGGGAAATGTTTCACTGGCAAATCAAGTCTTATTTATCATCAGAAGATTCACACAGAAGATAATGCATGGTCGTGTTCTGAATGTGGACAACATTTTAGCCAAAAATCTGATCTTCTCTCACATAAGAAGGATCATAAAGCAGAAAAGTCTGTTTAACCCCTTAAGGACACATGACGTGTGCCATGTCATGATTCCTTTTTATTCCAGAAGTTTAGTCCTTAAGGGGTTAACAATGTCAGAAGAACCATTTTTTGAGAGTAATTTTTGCTGAAAATACAGAGCACTCCTAGTGAAAAGAAAAATGTACTACTTTCATTTCATGCTAATAGACTCAAAATACAGACTATGACTGTGGAAAAATAGTAAAATGCACATCTGGTCTACTCTGACCATTGAAATGTGTTAATTTAGACATATTTAGCATGTCTGTCCTTTCATCTGCAAGTGGAGTTATCTATTTCTTCTCTGTGGAAATGCATTTTTTTTTTTTTTTTCCAATAAACTTGCTTTAGTCACAATATGGTTTCTAGAATTAACATTGGTTAATAAATACAGTAATTTCTCTTGAGAGAGTCATTCTGCTCGACTGGCATTGATTCTATGGTTGTGAGGGTAAATGTGCCTCAGTTTTACTAGTGATGCATGAATTATTTTTTGCAGCAAGTAGCATACCATTTATGAGGATGTCATACACACTAATAGTGCATCGAATTACATAACATATCCCAGTCTAATAAAACCACAGAAACCATGTGAATTGGACCTGTACGCCATTAGTATTTTTACTTCTTAAGAGAGACCACTAGAAAGGAAGACATTCAAGTCTATCTTAATTCAGTGTGTAAAGAATACTGGGATAGTGATACCTCTCTCAAACCTTCATCTTGTTGAGATTTGAAACAGATTCCTAGATTTGTATTTATTTCTGATGGAGCATATCTTTTTTTGCCTTTTGATTGAAATCTCACTCATTTAAAAGGCTAATCTAGGTGTGGATTCTATGCTTACAGTGCATAGAGGGGTACACCGAACTGATAAGGTCCAAAGAAGGCTAAAAGTATCCTTTAGGAAAAGAGCCTAACATAAGTTTGTATTTGGTCTACCCTTGTGAGAGGGATTTGTCTGATACATTAAGGTTCTCTTTTATTAGAAAACGTGTTTCATGACCTCAGCATTGACTAACTGTAGAGCAAGCTTTTGAGTTTTTCCCCTTCTCTGTGTTTCCTTATCTTCTGTTTTTGCTTCAATAATCATCAAAATAGCCAGTTCTCTTCAAAGTAGACCTAGCAAGGCTTACATTTTTCAACTCCTGCTTACTTGCTTTAATGGGGCCTCGGCATTTGCTGTTCTTACATGGTTTAATAGGGACACATGACAGTGCATAATTTGGTCCTAATAGATGATTGAGAGTTCTGGCTGCCTAATTAACAGGTTTAAGGAGCTGTGTTATAGCTGTAGCCAATATCTACAAATCTGTCATGGCACTCTCGGAGCTAGAACAGAAACAAAGTTAAATCAGTAGTATCGGGCATGCCAAAGTAGTTCCCTACTGGGTCACCACGGACAATGTGCGTGCTCTCACAATAGGTGTCAGTGGAGCTGCCTGGAGGACTGCCTGGGCTGTAAATAATGTTTAGTGAAGGGGGGTGGGGGGAAATTATATATATATGTGTGTGTGTGTGTGTATATATAGGAGTCATACAAAGTGTATTTTTATACTTTTCTAAATAGTATGTTATGCTTGGGGTAATTTTCATTCCTGGGCTGCCATACAGTCTCAAAGGCAACATAACCATTATGGAAAACTGCAATGTGTATATACTGGAAATGAAAAAGCCCTATATTTGGCACTGTAACGTTCCAAAATACCATCAAAACTGTAAATGGGTGGTACTGTTGTCCTAGTGAGACATCACTGAATACAAATGTGTATTTTATTACAGTAAAACCTAACCGTGTTACGACATTCACCGTTAAAATGCCATGCAGAACTAAAAAACAAAAAATCTTAATTTCTCACACTTTTTTTTATATTTTATTCATAATAAATTGTTTCATAAATGAATATTTGATGTAAAATGAAAGCCCTGTTTCTCCTGAACAAAATGATTTATAATAAATGTGGGTGTACTTAATATGAAAGAAGTGAATTATGGTTGAACAGATGTATAGTGCAAATTACAGGTTTTATTTTGACTACAACGTGTACAATTGCCTCCATCCTTAAGGGGTTAAGAATACATGAATCGGTTATTATGATTGTCAGACAAATAAACATATATGTAAATCAAAGTGCTTTAATACTAAACAAAATATACATTTAATGTAATATCAAATTTTATAGAAAAAAATTAGATACAGTGCTTCCTTCCAAATACACTGTCCAATATATATGTATATATTCTTTATAATACATTCCCGTGTTAATGGAGAATTATACAGCTTGTGATAATGACATATTTTTCTTAATCATTTATACAATATGGTGTAATACTTGTGTAAGTTCCTCTCTGTACACACTATTTTACAAAAACAAATAACCAAGAGTGGTAAACCAAAGTCACCAGCCAGAGCTCAGCTGAAGCCCCACAAACCAGCGACTAAAATGGCAGAAAAACTGACTTACCGAGTGCAACCTATACACTACCCCACAGTTGAACTTATAGAGTGCAAGCACAAGTGGTTCTTTCCACCGGAGAGATCCTCACTCCCCAACATCAGGCTATCCTTTGAGCGGCCTGTTCCGCCAACACCAGCCAAGATGGCGCTTAACCTCCAGAGATACTCTGAGAAACCAGAGCCTGGCCTCCCACTAGCGGTGTGTATCGCGGAAATGAGTCGGATGTCCGCAAAGGGAGACATAACATAGCTCCTGGTAGACCTGAGGCATACCTGGAAGGCAGACTTGCAGGAGACCCAGGCTGAAGTCTCTGCACCAGAGAATGACTGCAGTGGAAGAGTGAGTGGGAGCTAGAGATGAGCAAATCCAGAACTACACACAACTGCTGGATAACCTCACCAAACAAGTCAGGTAGCTACAGAAGTCGGTCTCATTAGAGACTCGGCACAGATGCAGAAATATATGCCTACGCGGCATACCCCAAATGATTAAAAATGAAGACATACTACCCTTTGTCCAAACGATGACTGCTTCCATGGGCCTTAAATGCGGCACTGATACCATGCTCATAATGTCTGCCTACCTTGTGTGCAAGTCAGCAACAGCGCCTGAGGAAGCCTCAAGAGATGCCATTGCCACCACTAGAGACATAGCAGTAAGAACTGCCATTATGAATAGGTCAAGGTTCCAAGTGTGACTTAGCTCCCTGTACCCCTGCTGAGTACCTCCGCCAGGGACCACTGGGGGGACGGACAGGGGACTAGCTCTATGCACTCCCAGGAGCTGAATGACACAAAGCCCTGGGTGCTACTTAGCCCTACAAGGACTTTCCCCGCTGAATCCTCCACAACCTGGAACAAGGTGCTGTGAGCAGTGATTAGCCTTTCCCCTCCCAGTAACTAGACAACACAACTGACTTAAATGTGACAAACTTGGCCTTTTATTCACAGACCCCAACAGGGGTCTTTATACAATACAAGCCTCTCCCAGGAATCTCTATGCCTGCAAGATAATTGAGTTAAAGGCAGGTAAGTTAATTATCTCCCAGGAACCGAGAACCAAACACAAAATATAAAAACACAAAAGTACCCCAAAACATACAATACATGTCCTACATCTCCAAGAGCCCTGATCTGAGCGCCCAAGTTGCCCAAATAGCGCTCAGATCCATGCAGTGTAGGGGAAACGCCTACGGGGCAAAGTTCTGACTGGTCACACACGTGGTCCTAGCCCAAAATAGTTCCAGGTCGTTTGGTGCTTTTGCCGGTCAACTTTCGGGAGCTCCTGTGGCTGAAATACGGGGTGCTCCATCTGGCTTTCAGGAAGTGTTTTTGTTCGCTTAGTCTCAGGCACCTTCTCTCCAAAAAGCGCTCTCCTGGCGGGTCGCAAAGTGGTTCAAAACCCCGGATCAAGTTGTCCAGGAATCGCAAGGTCACCTAGCCGAAAATAGTTCTATAACATTCGCAGCCAAGTACCGCTCAGGTGAACGGGAACCACGAAGTCCTCGTGCTGAAATAGAGTTCCATAGCAGTCGCGGCTAAGTACCACTGAGGACCATTCGTGGATTTGCTCATGCGAATGGCCGCCAGGAAGCCAGCATTCGGTTCCATTCATGAGCAGGGAAAATGCTAAACCAGGCACCAAGGGAAAGGAGCTAATGGCAGCTGGGCGGGTTAACTCCCGAATGGGGTCTTTCACCTGGACCATAGTCGGTGGGCAGGAGGCCACCTACTGTTATAGTAAACGAATACGAAAAATTCAGAAATTTTTGACAAAATTGTACTAGTCATAAAACGAATGCACATATCTAATGTATTTCTTGTCAGTGTTTGTCTTCCCTACCCCTTTATAAATATCGTATGGTGTTATATGAGTAGCTGTATGATTCTCCTTATGATTAAAGCGGCACTGTCACGCCGAATCCTGGGTTTTTTTTTTAACCCCCCTCCGGCCTCCACTACATCTAACACCCTAGTCACCCCCAAACGCCCCTAATCCCCCCACATTACTTATTTTTTAATCTTTATTTTCTGTCCCGATCTATATTCAGGGCGCCGCCATCTTTGTGTGGGTAGATGAAGTCCCTGTGGGACGCGTCATCAGCCCACACTAGACAGACTGTGAGATTCCCGCACATGCCCAGTGAAACACCTGGACATGCGAACAGGAATTTCATCTATTCATTCATCCATCAGACAGAGGAATGAGTGAATAGAAATATCAGCCGAACAAACAAACACTATGTATCAGTGTTCGCTTGTACGTGCAGGTTATTACAAGGAGGGAGCTAGCGGCACGCAGCTCCCTCCTTGTAATATGTAACTATAGAAGTGACAGGGAGCAGTGCTCCCCACCACTTCATAAGCCCTCCCCCAGGTGCCCCCTCACTCTATGGGGGTCAATATGACCCCCATAATAGCACAAGGGAGATTAAAATAGAGTAGGGGCATGTCCACTAAACAGTGAGAAGCCTGTGGCTGCTCACTGTAAAAAAAACTAAAAAAACAACTATTGGCCCCCACCCCTAAACGACGGGTGGGGGCCCTAAAGTAAGATAAGGGGGGAGACCTAATGTCCCCCCCCCGGCCCCCACCCCTGCGCGGCGGGTGGGGGCCATAGTGAGAATGAGGGGGGGACCTACTGCCCCCCCCGGCCCCCACCCCTGGGCGGCGGGTGGGGGCCATAGTGAGAATGAGGGGGGAGACCTACTCCCCCCACCGTGGCCCCCACCCCTGGGTGGCGGGTGGGGGCCATAGTGAGAATGGGGGGGGGGAACCTACTGCCCCCACCCCTGGGTGGCGGGTGGGGGCCATAATGAGAAGGGGGGGGGAATCTACTGCCCCCCGCCCCCACCCCTGGGCAGCGGGTGGGGGCAATAATGAGGGGGGGGACCTACTGCCCCCCGGCCCCCACCTAGGGATGGCCGAAGTACAGTACCTAGGACACCAGGTAGGGTGTGGAACACAGACACCTGAGCCAGCCAAAGTTGAGGCAGTAACCAGTTGGCCCTGTCCACACACTAAGACCCAGGTGATGGCTTTTCTAGGGATTGCGGGCTATTAAAGGAAATTTGTCACCAACTACAGTGCCCTAGCTAAGCCCCTCACTGACGTGACCCGTTAGACATTGCCCAGACAGGTAAACTGGACCCTAGTGTGTGAGTAGGCATTCCCAGCACATAAGGACGCCCTGGTAAATGCTCCTGTCCTGGTTCCTCCTAATCCAAAAAAAAGTTTTCTCGTCCACACATATGCCTCCATGTTTGGATTAGGAGCAGTGCTCAGCCAGGTCGGGAACGATGGCAGAGAACACCCAGTAGCTTACCTCAGCAGGAAGCTACTACACCGGGAGGTTAGCTACGTCGCCATCGAAAAGGAGTGCCTGGTGGTGGTGTGGGCACTCAAGAGTCTGCAGCCCTGCCTCTATTGACAGCAATTCACATTGCTCATGGATTACAACCCGTTGGTGTGGCTTAACCGGGCCTCTGGAGACAATGCCAGGCTGTTACAGTGGAGCCTGGAATTAAAACTGTATGACTTCAGTATTCACTACAGACCCGGTAAGCAAAATTGGAACGCTGACTGTTGTCCAGACAGACGGCCCTGGGGAAATGATCCGGACCTCCCCAAGCCGATCTGTTGGGATCAGACTGCGTATGCCGGCTTGCGGTTAAGGGGGAGTTGTGTGACGCACCCACTGCCTGTCTGTGAATTGCCTGTCTTTACATTGTGTGTGTTTTCCCCATTCTTTCGTTTATTGTGCCTGCTTCCCATTCGGGAGGTCTTCCACGAAGGGAGTCCATTCACCTTCTGAACGAGGACCACCCCAATACCTCATTTAGAATGTTAGGATCGAATGTTCACACCTCAAAAGATAAGTGTCAAACCGCAAAGGGAAACAATTAATGAGTGCTTCCCTGGGTGGCCGCCATTCGTACAGGCGAACGCCACCAGGGGGAGCATTCATGGACTGTTTCCCGCCTCGTTTGTCTCCCGAACAAGGGCCTTCCCGGTGCCCAATTAGAACGTTCAAACCAATTAATCAGAATGTTCGCACACATAGGTGTCAAACCTCAAGGCAAGTAATTAATGAGTGCTTCCCTGGTTGGCGGCCAAAGGGGAGCATTCACACCCCAATAGTAGACATTTCCCTTGTCTGGGTTTCACCCGGGACCTCTTGAGCGGAGATTAGTCGGTCGAGGGGCCAAGGCGAGGGTCCCTGAGATTGGTGTGGGCACTTTTTGGGCACTGGCAAGTTTGGCAAGTCATGAGCCTGAGGGACAAAAAGACCAGCTTCTGTGCCTGGGAGACAAAGGGACAGTCCCTTTTTCCCGCGCTTACACTACCAAGCACAGAGACTCTTGGGAAGAAGACCCCTGGCAGTTGGTTTGGGAATCCCTGGGGAATTAGTGGTTGGCTTTGGGGACAAAGAGAACAGAGTTCCTTTCTGTGCTAGGGTCTCAGGGAGGGGGAGGTGATATTGTATGTTTTGTGTGATCCACCCCTTGCAGGGAGTTATGCATAAAAGCCATGTGTGGCCAATAAAATTGTGTTGTACCTCCAGGACTGTGTGTTGTCCTGTTACTGGGGGGGTGGGGGGGGGAATGGGTCTATTTGTCCTTTACATGGTTCCTGAATGGCTGAAGGAAGGGAATTTAGCGGAGGTGAGCAGGGGTAAGATACTACTCTGCTTTATTGCTTTCATTGTTTTAGCGCCTTCGTGCAGGTGTCACCATAGTCTTTGCCATCTACCCCGTTGGTGGGTGTGGTATGCGGTACGATCCTTGCGCTATGGCTTGATTTGGTTGTTTCCTGGGGGGGAGGGAGTTTTTTGGATAGTGTGGTTTTCACCATCCATTTAGACCAGGTTCGGTTGTAATACGCTAGAGTTCCACTGATTGTGTGTGACATTTTCTCGTAGTGTTGGGTGAGACTCACTTTAGCAATAACTTACGCTACGTCTGGTGTAGTGGTGGATTTCCAGAGGGTGGCTATGCATGTTTTTGCAGCTAGTGTGATGTGGATGATCAGAGCTGCTTCATATATCATAAACCCTTTGGGTAGCATTTGGAGGAGACAGTGTTTAGGAACGAGTGGTAGGGGTTTTCCTAATTTTGATTCTATCAGTTCTTGGATCTGCTTCCAGTAGGAGTCAAATGCAGGACAGTACCAGAATATGTGGCTCAGGGTGCCTACATGTTTGCTGCAGCCCAGGTATATTTGGGCTAATCTTTGGGGTGTGAAGTACCACCTCATCCATACCTTGTAGGCTGCTTCTACATGGTCTAGGCAGCGAGTAGCTTTTTTTAGTAGTTTTTTACTAGTGCCATGGCTACAAGCCACCTACTTGGGTCAAATGTACAGTTTAGCTCTTCTTCCCAGTGCAGCATATATTTCTGTTTTTCCGGTTTATGTCTAGTAAGCGTTGGTAGCATAGGGAGTGCGTTTTTTTAGGGGTCTTTTGGCCCTGGCATAACAGATCAAAGGAGTTTTCTGATTTTATGATGTCACCTTTATGGTATCTCCCACAATGTGTTTTATGCGCAGGTATGTGAACAGTTCGTTATTGGGGAGGAGGTATAATTGTTGGAGTTCTGGGAATTGTAGTAGCCAGTCTGTACCTAGGAGGTGTGATATCACTCCACTATCAATCCAGCCCCCCAAGGGTAAGTCATGAGTGTGGTATTGAAGACTGTCTAGTGGAGCAAAAGCCTCCATGATCTCACTGAGCATTTTTGGGGCCCAGCGTAACCACAACTGGAGCGCCAGTTGCGCATTCGTGAGGGATTTGAAGTGTCGGGGTTGAGCTCGGGCCGGTGCACTGATCGCACTTTCCAGTCGGTGCCATATTGGGTAGTCTGGGAAAGTCAGGAGGCGTGCCGTCTGGGATAGATTTGTTGCTAGGTAATATTTGGCTATGTTAGGCACCCCGACGCCACCCCCTCCCATAAGACTCGCCAGAGAGACCCTGGCTTCTTTTTCCAGATGTGCGCATTGAGAAGGCGATGGAATGCCAGGAGGGTGTACATAGGGAGGCTAATAGGTAGGGCCCTGAAGAGGAATAAGATTTGTGGTAGGATGATCATTTTTATGGCGTTTATTTGCCCCAGCCAAGAGGCGTTTTTGTTTCCCCAGCTCTCCAGCAGCCGCTTTGTTTTCACCAGTAGTTTTTCATGGTTGTGTTTTATGAGGGTATGCTTTGAGGGCGCCTGTTGTGTGCCTAAGTAGGAGAGGGTGTCTTTCCTCCATTTCAAAGGACAAAGAGCTCGTAGGGCTGCGAGTTGGGATCGGGGTATGTTCAAAGGTAGCACTTGGGTATTCCCCACATTGTTTTTATAGTAGGAGACCCGTCCGTAATCATGCAGTAGGCTTAAAAGATTCGGGAGGGAGTCTGTGGGGTTTGTTAGGAAGAGAAGAATGTCGTCGGCAAATACTGCTATTTTCTGTGGTTCTATTGGAGAGGGGACACCAGTGATATGGGGGTCTTTCTTGATCATGTGGATTAGAGGTTCTAGCGCTAAGATGAAGATGAGGGGTGAGAGTGGGCATCCCTACCGTGTGCCGTTTGTCAGGGCAAAGTAGTGATATCGGGCGGTAGTTCGCACAGGAGTCCGTGGGTTTTCCCGGTTTGGGAATTGTAACTATGGTGGCCTCCAGCATTTCTGGGGGTATGCAACCCGTCTCCAGAATGTGCTTGAATAAGGCCGTCATGTGGGGAAGTAATTGGTCCTCAAAGACCCTGTAGTAGTGAGTGGAATAGCTGTCTGTGCCTTGGGCTTTATGTCTTGGGGTTACATGCAGTGCCTTAGAGATCTCGTTGGCTAGGATTGGGCTGGTCAGTGCTGTGGCCTGTTCGTTGGAGAGCTGGGGGAGGTTCACCTCTTCCCGGAAGGTAGTTATGTCATGGGGCTGGGTTGGTGTTGGGCGGGGTCGGTGGAAAGGTTGTATAACTTTGCATAAAATTCATCCACAATCACCTTAGGGTTTACAATTTTTGTTCCAGCACTATCCCTGACATATGTAATTTTCATCTGGGAGGTTCGTTCCCTAAGTTGGGATGCCAGCAGTCGGCCCGCTCTGTTTCCCTATCTATAGTAGTTTGTTTTTAGTTTACGAATTGTTTGCTCAACTTGCATCTGTAGGGCTTCCAGTGTGGACCTAATCCTGTGTACTTCCTGCCTATGGAGCTTAGTGGGTAAAGCTTTGTGTTGTGTTTCAGCCCCTTTTAGAACCTTTAGTAGGGAGGTGCTTTTCTCTGAGATTTGACGCCGTATTTTCGCACCTTGTTATATCAGCATTCCGCGCATGACCGCCTTATGGGCAAGCCATGTCATGGTAATGATCGTGTCGGTGTTCTGGTTATCCACAAAATAGTTTACTAGGGATCTCCTCATCTCGGCTGCTCTTTCAGCATTGTCTATTAGGGACTCGTTTAGTCTCCATCTTCCCCATCCTCGGACCGGGTAAAGCGTAGTGAATGATGTCCTGAGGGGGGCGTGGTAGGACCAGATTAGGGGCAATGGAGACTTGGTCTAGGGTATCTAGGGTTTTAACATCTACCAGGCACATGTCTATTAGGGAATATTGATTGTGAACCCTAGAATAAAATGTGTAATCCCTAGTGGCTGGATAGAGTGCTCGCCATGTATCATGTAGGCCGTGTAGGTGGAGGAGGGTGATATTTTGTCACCTAGGTGTGTGGATCGAGAGTGGGAGCCAGGGTTCCCGGATCTGTCAAGATCAGGGTCCAATACACAGTTAAAATCCCCACATATAAGCATCTGCCCTTTTTTCAGTCTATCAATTTGTTTCAGAGCTTTCCGAAGAAAGTCGTACTGGTTGGCATTGGGGGCATATAGGTTTGCTATAGTCACCTGGGCGTCGTTAAGCAGTCCCACTAAAATGAAAAGTCAACCATCAGTGCATTGAAAATGCCAATCAGAGTGAAACAGTATACTAACCCCCCAAAATTCTCCTCAGCCACTTACCCATTATCATTTCATGCCCTGGCACCTAATAAACTTGTTTTATTAGGTGCCAGGGCATGAAATGATAATGGGTAAGCGGCTGAGGAGAATTTTGGGGGGTTCTTAACAGAAAAGTGAGTTTCCATATGCAAGCTACCAAGGCATACAAGGCTCATAATTGGGACAGGGCAAACCTGCATTTCTGCAGGGTGTTTAGACCATGGGCATTGAGGGACACCAAGTTAAATCTATGAGGGGGGGTCATCTTGATAAGGTTGGGGTGACCCTTGGACATGCCCAGGTGGCAGCACCCGTCCTGACTCCAACTCTGTAGTATGGTTGTGGGGTCTTGTCATCAGGTTTCCCAGTTCGCCCAAAGTAGCGTGTGGAGAGCATCTCAGGCGGAGCATAAGGCAAGGGGTACAACAAATATTACAACAGTAATAACTAAAACCGGTAACTGTCAATGGCGATCTTTACAAGAGTTAATTTGAAGTCTGGGTGAAGATCCCTTTCTCCTGGACAGGGGAATAAGCTTGTAGTTTCATCAGCTGCGCCCTGGCTATCTCCCTCGGCCCACCCGAGGGTGCGGGATGCTAGGGTAGATATTTCCTCTGCCCAGTGCCACAAGTGGTCTGCACAAGCCGCTCATTCGAATAGATAAGGTTCATGGAAATGGGATGAGGGCAGTTAGTCCCAGGGATGGGGCGGCCGGGGTGCAGGAGGGGGGGGCAGCGCCTCACAGGCTGAGTGTGGAGGGTAGTATTAGAGTTGAGCGTACTCACATGGGGGCAATAATCCCCTTGTGCCCTGTAAGTCCATGGGTGGAAGATTCATCATGTGGGGCCTTGAAGGGCGTGTAAGTCAGTTTGAGCAGTCCAGGGTGGGGTAGTAACGTGGTCCTTTATGTTGATAGTAGTTGCTAGACTTTGGTCCAGTCTGGGGCTACTTTCCATGGGGAGGTTGAGGTGGCAGTCATCCGATTTTTGGGAAACAGTCCCCAGGTTCTGAGTTTGTCCATGCCTTGTAATAGAGCCGTTTCGCCAGATGAGGAGCTTTGTGGGGAAACCCCACCTGGAGGGTATCTTGTGGTTGCGGAGGCATTTTCTTATATTAATAAAGTCCCTTCTTCTGGCCATCGGCGGCGGCGAAAGGGCCAGCGTATATGGATATTCCCTCATAGGTGGGTGGCGTCGTTGAGGCCTTTTTCTTTGCGCCGTGAGTATAGCTTCTTTATCGCAGTAGTAGTGGAGTCTGATTACCATGTTCCTTGGAACATCTTGTGCAAGGTTTTTGGGCTTTGGCACTCGGTGCGCCTTGTCCATGCAGAGGTCCGCAGGCTCCAGATTGGGTTGTATTGCCCGAAATAGCTGTTAAAAGTAGAATGGCAACTCCTCATGTGTTATTGTTTCCGGGACCCTGTGCACGCGGATGTTGTTGCGACAGGAGCAATCTTCCAGGTCTGCCACCTTTTCCAGAAGGCGTTTATTATCTGCTTCCATCTTCTGAATTTTCTCTGCTATTGCATCATTCGCGAGGAAAAGGTTGTCTGTCTTCTTCTCTAGGGCGTTCACATGTGTGCCCACTTCGAGCATGTCTTTGCGGATATCTGAGACCGCCATTTGGAAGTCGGCTTTCATGGACGTGCACAGCTCCTGGAGCATGGCTGCCAGCCGTTTCCCCGACACAGAGAGATCTCCTGTGGATGCTTGCCTCGAGTCAGTGTCCGACCCTGCATCTTAGGTGTGCGTGGGTGAGTGGGAACCGCCGCCATCTTGCTCTGATCGCAGCCGGTCTCGCTTTCCCTGACGGGAAAAAAAATCAGAGGCTCGCTGGGGTTTAGGAGGTGCCATTGTGGAATGGGGGGGGGGGGTTCCCCTTGTCTTGGGCACCCTTTTGGGGCGTTATGGGTCTGTTTGCCGCTGCTTATGCCGCTTTTTAGGCCGATCCGGTCACAGAGCTTTTACAACATGAGACCGCTCCATCGGACCGGAAGTCCCACCCTCGTCTCTGCACTTTTTCTAGTGCCATGAAATCCTTCTTTTGAACAGATGCCTAAAATTGAGTATTTTCAAGGTGTAGTCTTACCAGCGATTTATAAAGAAGCAAAATTATATTTTCATCCTGAGAATTTATGACCCTATTTATACATAACAAAACCTTACTGGCCTTAGCAACTGCAGATTGACATTGCATATTGCTGCATAATTTGTTGTCTATAACAATTCCCGAATCCTTTTTGTGTGTGGTTATCCCTAATTCACTCCCATTTAGGGTGTAAGTTGCATGTGCATTCTTGACCCCAAAGTGCATAACTTTGCATTTCTCTGCATTAAATTTTATCTGCCATTTTAGTCCTCCAATCTATCTAAATCCCTCTGCAGCAAAGCAATATCCACACAGACTGCAAATCCCACACATACAGTATTTAAGCACCCGATTCCTTCCACCTTTTTACTACATATTAATTTACTATTACAATGTTATCATTTTTACTTATAGTTTACTACTGTAATATTTGTACTTGCAGTTACCTGTAGTAATTAATAATCTGACTGATAGTATTTAATAGGCAAATATTTTAATATGTGCAACAAATGGCTAGTCTGTTCCACCTCTCCTCCCCAATGACCCTCCCCTTCCCCATCTTGCCACTCCTAGCTGTAAATTCCTTTATATAACTGTACATCCTTCTTCCTCCTCAGGCCCAATTTAACTTCCATCTTTGCAACTAAGAGTCTTCATTTCTACTCTGCTCTACTCACCTATCCACCCTGTTTGCTTCTAACTATATAGCATGACTTCTCCAGCTGTTTCCAACCACAGTAAATTACATCCTCATTCCCATCACATGTTATCAATCACAGCAGTCACACTAAAAATTCTCTCTACCATCACCTTCAATTTCCTCTGCTACCTCTTGTCTCATTTCCCTATTTTACCTTTAGATTGTAAGCTCACGGGCAATCTAGCTAAGCACTTTGTATAAAAGAGCTTTAGTGGCTAGATATCAGCTTACGGGCACGGCCCTCTCTACCTTTTGTTTTTGTCTGTATATATTGTACGTCCTCCACTTATTGTACAGCGCTGCGGAATCTGTGGGCGCTTTATAAATACCAGTAATAAATAAATAAGTTAAAAGTTTCATAGACCCACAGCTTACATCTATTCACTTATATTACTGAAGGTTTCATTTGATTTATGTTTTAGTTTGAACTTCTATTTGCTACTCAGTTATAAATTGTTTATATTTTTTAACATCATGGTAAGCATCTAACGACCAGCACTGAAAGTCGAATTGAATAGCACCCAGTGGTATATCAGTCTCTATATCTAGTCCATCTCATATATGTTCAGTTAACGCAATGTACAATGTCAGCTCTCTATTACTCTCTTACTGACCTATATCTGTTTGGAGCTTGCCTATATCATCAGGCAGGTATCTTCTCACGTGAGTCCAGATCGTTTGTTTAGATAATACTTCTGACTACCTACCTTGCCTCTTGCTTCTCTCATGTACTTTATAATTTAAAATGTGCTGTCCCATCAACATTTCCTACCACAACCTTACATTCTTATTGTTGCACGTATGCCTGGAAAATGTCATTGCCTATATGTTTGTTTCATTATGCACGCAAAAATAAAGAATTAAAAAAAAAAAAGTTTATTTTAACCAAAAAAAATAATAAAATATAAAAAAAAAATCAGTAATAAAGCAGGCAGTAAGAAGTCCAACTTGTGTATAGCTGCCAAAACGAGTTTTGCTGATATGGATTTTGCAGTTAGCAGTGTAAACTTCATGTGATCCTATAGGGACAAACTTAGACGGTATTGCTTGACATTCTAGCCTCAGGCTCCAACTTGCCAGACTACGCTCAGATGTTCCTCCTGGCCACCGGGAGTGATGTTGCGGCACCTGTTCTACATCATTTTAGAGATTGCAGACTGCTCGCTATGTACCTCTCAAAGTCCTTGGAGTTATCCAGGCTTGAATACGATGCCAAAACTACCATATCGCAGTTGGGCAAACAGCCTCAAATATACTATATATATAAAAAAGAAAATTTGGCATGAATATTCTAAAATAGAATAATTCATATGTTTAAAACTCATCATAAAGTGGAGTATTAAACACGTATCTCAAGAAATACATGTGTATATAAAAAATATACAGTTACAAAATTTGTATTTATTAACAAAATACTTATAAAAATTATATAAAAAGTATATATTGAAGCAAAAAAATTAAATATATGGCAGGAATATAAGACCTTTAATTATAGCCACATAAAATAAAAATAAAAAAAAATATATATATATATATTTCAATACAACCAGGAAATTGTAAAGTGCTACAAAATACCTTTCAAAATACCTTCTAAATAATACGAAAAGCTGACTGAATGGAAAGATAAACATAGTAATATTTAAAAGACAGAGAAGACCAGAGAGAATAATTATTGATTTTCACTTGAATTATGTCTGGTTGGTAAATAAATCCATCATTTTGTTAGACTGGTTTACTATATTATGTGCAACGTAGCTGTACATTTGATGTGATTTTTCTACTTTTAGAACAGTCCTATTTTTCTTTAAGTGATATTTTATTTAAAGGGACACTATAGTCACCGGAACAACTTTAGCTTAATGAAGCAGTTTTGGTGTATAGAACATGCCCCTGCAGCCTCACTGCTCAATCCTCTGCCATTTAGGAGTTAAATCCCTTTATTTATGAACCCTAGTCACGCCTCCCTGCATGTGACTTGCACAGCCTTCCATAAACACTTCCTGTAAAGAGAGCCCTATTTAGGCTTTCTTTATTGCAAGTTTTGTTTAATTGAGATTTTCTTATCCCCTGCTATATTAATAGCTTGCTAGACCCTGCAAGAGCCTCCTGTGTGTGATTAAAGTTCAATTTAGAGATTGAGATACAATTATTTAAGGTAAATTACATCTTTTTGAAAGTGAAACCAGTTTTTTTTTCATGCAGGCTCTGTCAATCATAGCCAGGGGAGGTGTGGCTAGAGCTGCATAAACAGAAACAAAGTGATTTAACTCCTAAATGGCAGTGAATTGAGCAGTGAAATTGCAGGGGAATGATCTATACACTAAAACTGCTTTATTTAGCTAAAGTAATTTAGGTGACTATAGTGTTTAATATCTCACATTTTCTTCTTTTTAATGACCACTAGGTGTCATTATTTACCAAATATATTTTTGTATGTCATCTATGGATTTCCGGCATGTATAAAACCAAGTATAGATGTGATCATGGTCCTTCTAAGAAAACTATCCAACTATACACTTCCTTTCTTATGAAAAAGAAATCAATAAAAGTATATTACAGCCCAGTATCAGTGAGCATTCCGTTATGTTTGCTGACTTCAGAATCATGCAGTGATTTTTAAAGCAATCACAATCCAAACATCACAGACATTTCTGCTACCAGTATCATAACCAAAGTCAGAAAATGTTAAAGGGACACTTTAGTCACCAGAACAACTACAGCTTATTTAATTTGTTCTGGTGAGTAGAATCACTACCTTCAGGTTTTTTGCTGTAAACACTGTATTTTCAGAGAAAAAGGAGTTTTTACATTACAGCCTAGTGATAACTTCACTGGCCACTCCTCAGATGGCTGTTAGAGATCCTTCCTGGGTCATGGCTGCCTAAAATGCATCCAAACATTCAGTATCTCCTCCCTCTGCATGCAGACACTGAACTTCCCTCATAGAGATGCATTGATTCAATCCATCTCTATGAGGAGATGCTGATTGGCCAGGGCTGTGTTTGAATCATGCTGGCTCTGCCCCTGATCTGCCTCTTTGTCAGTCTCAGACAATCCTATGGGGAAGCATTGTGATCGGATCAGGCTACTACTTCTGCTGATGTCAGCAGGCAGTGGTCAGATCAAAAGGAAATCGGGACAAAGCCTGCAGCTTCAGGCTTGAATACAAGTAAGATTTTACAATATTTATGGAGGCATGAGGGGGGCAGGGGGGCTAGATGGTGGTTTTAACCCTATAGGGTCAGGAATACATGTTTGTGTTCCTGACCCTATAGTGCTCCTTTAAGTTAATGCTGTTAAGTTAAAACTAGGCCTAGCTCATGACTTACTCGTTAAATAGAAACTGTCACTACTAAGGATTTTTAGTATTTGGTTACTTAACCCTATCTATATCAAATTTGGATTTGTGAAGTGTGAAACTTTTTTTCAAAAATTGGCTCTGTCACACAGCAGGTTTTATTTTTAAATTAATTTTTTTTTGTCCCTCTGTTTATTCATTTTTTTTAAATTCACCTTGTTTTCTTAATTATACATAGGAAAAAGTAAGGACTACTTTTTCTCATGTGGAGCATGATGTTTAACAGCTTTTGTAAATAGGCAGAGCTTTACCCTCAATCCATTTGTCGAAAGAGTCAGAGCCCTACAGAACAGTAAATTGTAGACATCATGGACAGAGGAGGCACTCGGTATTAGGAACTGATGCAAGGAAGAGAAGATAATAAATATAAATAAAGGCAAGTGGCAGTATAAACATTAACGTACAAGGAACGTAAAAGAAGGAAATCCGAAAGAAAGAAAAAAAACATGACAGAGCTGTAGAAATCCTCAACTCTTTGTTCTTTAAGTTCTCCATCTTAGCTTTCTGTCAGTCATTGTTCTAAACTCTGTCCATTTCAAACATTGTTTCTGTTTCTCCTCTTTATTTGTAATGTTTGCCCTGTCTGCATGAAAATAAAAACTGGATTGTAACATCAACTGTTAAATCTTTAATATGCAATTGTAAAAGAAAATAGACAATCTCCTGAAATAAGGTTAACACAAGTTATAGGTGATTTTCAATGTTTAATTTTGTGGTGTAGATTCCAGCAAAGTGACAGTTTCCCTTTAATCTCGCACTCTCAAGGCTGATATTATACACATTATAACTGCTACCTTTATGGGCTTTTTGAGTGCATCACTGGTTGAAGGTTGTAGAGAAGATGGCATCAAATTCATCTTTGGAGCATTGGTAGTCAACCTGGTCCACTAGTTCACTAGTGGGCGGTTTGGAATTTCAGGTGGGCGGTGGTGGGTTCTGTAGAAAACACCTGGTGGGCCTAGGTGGCTGTGGACCAAGGCCGGCAGGGGAGATCATTTCATCTCCCCTGCCGGCCCATGCAGGGCCAGCCTTGCTGTAAGACCTCTTGGGCTGGTGATGAGATCAAAAATGTTCCAAACTGGCCCGCTGGCTCTTAATTCCAGCAGAAGGAGGAAAGGGCCTGGGAGCCTCTGTGTTCCTCCCGTGAGCAGCCTGGTCATATCGTTACCATGGGTTACCATGGCAGCACTCTGAAACAGTGATGTGCTTGCAGTAGGACAGGAGAGTCCGCCTGCAGCCAGAGGAGTTGCAGGTTAAAGTGAACATGCCACCACTGGACCACCAGGGCTTGTAGCATTATGTACCCCCTACCTGGTAAAAGGTAAGAAGAAGGGAGGGGGAGACATTAAGTTAGCAACTATATAGATGGGGACCTCTAGTCAATTTATTATTTGTGGTCCACACCCGCAACTTAAATAAAAAGGTAATGCATTCGGCATTTGCCCTTTCGTTTCGTTTATATTTTGTATGTAGAGTTTTTGTTTACGTTTTAGTAAATGAATAAGAAAAAAACAGAATTCTCAGACGAAATTGTATTCGTACAAAAGCGAATGCACATGTCTAGTAGGAGTGTGAAGAGTGAGAAGGGGGAGTGTCAGGGTAAGATTCCAATCAATCTGCTGTCAGGGTGTTGGAACTGCCTAAGGTAGAAGAGCATGTAAGAGGCCAAAGAAAGTTACTGGTCCAGTCTGTATTTTTAAGCATTTCCTAAAGAAAGAAGACCTCTTTTTTAAGAGGTTTTTGATTTATTGCCCCTCTTACTGTTAATAGAGTTAATAGAGTGAAGGACTAGATTGGGATTTATATTTTTATATATTTCAGGGGGTGGCTAGGAGATTGGGGACCTTAGCCACCGAGGGGGGCATGCTATTATATGATGAAGTGGAAAATGGCATGTCCACCCGTCCTATTTTATAAACAATTAGGGACACCACCCATTGCCGTGGCCAGGCGGGGGACACTAGTTCCTCCCACCTTTGTTTTTAATATTAGGACCCTCACCTGTTTTCCATAGTTTGGTGGGGACAGTATGTCATCAGCCATAAATATTTAAGGTAGCTCCCACTTGTGGAGTCACTGGAGAATTGGTCATATTCTAGTGACTAGGCAGCAATGGCCACCCATTCACTAATCTAAAATATTTAAGAGACATGCACAGGATACGATAATGACATGGTTCTCACCATGGCCACCCCACAGGTGCCCAACAGGGCATTTGAACCTGAGTACTTTGCTGTACTGAGTCTGCTATCTACCTTTGAGCCACAGCAGTTTCTACTCTTTGGACTTATTCTAGTCCTGTTCATCCTGGCTTGTCTGCAACACTGGGGGCTGGACTTCATTTACGGCTGTACTTCACCTGAGCTTGCTCAGTCATCAACTGGTTATATAAGCACTGCCTTACCCTGGGAACATGATCAAGTCTTTCATCCTGTTGTGCATGTTCCATTCCAGTCACTTGATCTACTACTTCATATTGACCCCAGCTTCTGACTTTGTTAATCCTAATCCTGTCCTTGCCTGTACTGCAACTTGGAGCTTTATCCTGCACAGATTCACAGTCCAGGTGGTTTCAGAGTTGGTCACCTTGGACTGTGTCTATTTTCAAGGGTGAGCAACATATCTGCACTACAGATTCCCATCTCAGGTAAGATCATGACAGAGAAGACCAAAGAGAATAATTATTGGTTTTCCAACACTGTCTGACTTAAATTGCATGTATATAGCTGAAGGATCTTGTCATTTACTAAAGGTAGGGATGCATTTTTTATTTTATTTTATTTTTTATTTTATTTTTACATATACTTAATTAAAAAAACAAAACGATTTCCTTTTAAAACTTGAAGAAGAAAAAAGGTTTTTAAGTTACAGTTGTCCTTTAAAGTTTCTTCCAATACAGTGAGCAGAGTTCTGCTTTTGAATACTCTTATGAATGACCTTTCTGTATCTCTGTTCTTCTTTCATATCCTCTTACAACATCTACAGTGGTTTCATCATAATCACATGATTTCCTATTTGGGACAGAATTATTGAGTACTTGTCTACCCTTACTTTTTTCACATACTGTGTATACTGTGTACATATATATATATATATATATAAACATACATATATTTTGGAATAGCTGTATTAGTCCAGTAGACAAGATGCGAAAATACCAGACTATTGCAGTATACAATAATAACTCTCTTATTGGACTAATGTTAATAGAATATTAGCATAATATTTAAAAGACAAGTTTTCAAGAGTTTTCCTCTCTTACTCAGGTCTGAAGCAATACTGATCAATACGATAGAGTTTAACACTTTAAAGAGCTTATGTTGTTAAAGAATGGTCACCACTGTCCCCTTCTCTAACAACATCAGTTGTTTTAATAATATAAGGTGTGTGAAAGAAGTAGGGTATAAACGGAAAACCACCTTCCTAACATTGTGAAGGGCCTCTATGTGTTCACATAGAAGATATTATTCTGAGTGTATTTAAAATTTGTACGGGTGATATACACTGATCAACCACAATATTAAAACCACCTGCATAATATCGTGTAGGTCCCCCTGCCAAAACAGCTCTGATGCATCAAGGCATGGACTCCACAACATCTCTGAATGTGTCTTGTGTTATCTGGCACCAATACATTAGCAGGAGATCCTGCAGGAGGTCCTGCAAGGTGTGAGGTGGGGCATCCATAGATTGAATTTGTTGTTCTTGGGTATTTAGAGGCCAAGGCAACATATTGAATTCTTTTTCATGTTCTTCAAACCATTCCTGAATAGAGTTGAGCGGACACCTGGATGTTCGGGTCCGGCGGGTTCGGACGAACTTTGAAAAAAAGTCTGGGTTCGGGCTCAAACTTGACCCCGAACTTGACTCCAAACCCGAACCCCATTGAAGTCAATGGGGACCCGAACTTTTGGCCACAAAAATCCCTCTAAAAAACTCCTTGAAAGAGCTAGAGAGCTGCAAAAGCAAGTAAAATGGGGGGTAAGAGTAGGACAAGTGCCCTGCAAACAAATGTGGATAGGGAAATCACTTAAAATAACATAAAATACATAAAAATGAAAAATACAGCTGAGCCATAAAATAGCACTAGATGGAATCTTTGATTTTAGCTTTGGAAGAACATAAATCAAAATCTAAAGCATGGCTGTCAGGAGGATCACAAGAATTATCCATTTGAGAGAGGGTTATTCTCTTTCATTGTACAAACTGAGCTCAACTCCTGATGCATGGAGAAAAGGCCTTAACAAGCCTCTACTATTGTGTACATAGTTTATACTAAGTGACCCATAGGTTAAGGAGGCGGTGACCGTGGCGGTGTAGGTGGAAGCAGCGGTGTAGGTGGAAGCAGCGGTAGAGGAGGAGGAGGTAGCCAACACTGTTTTATGTGTATATATATATATATATATATATATATATATATATATATATTTTTTAAATTGGGGTAGCCCCCAAAATATTGGGACATACAAATAAAGTAGCATTTGCGGCCTGCGGTGCATTTCTTGCAGTCCTGATGCATGGAGAAATGCTCAACTCCTGATGCATGGAGAAAAGGCCTTCACAAGCCTCTGCTAATGTGTACCTAGTTTATACTAAGTGACCCATAGGTTGAGGAGGCGGTGACCGTGGTGGTGTAGGAGGAAGCAGTGGTGGAGGAGGAGGAGGAGGTAGCCAACACTGTATTTTATGGGGTTTTTTTTATTATTGTGGTAGCCCACAAAATATTGGGACATACAAATAAAGTAGCATTTGCGGCCTGCGGTACATTTCTTGCAGTCCTGATGCATGGAGAAATGCTCAACTTCTGATGCATGGAGAAAAGGCCTTCACAAGCCTCTGCTAATGTGTGCCTAGTTTAAAATAAGTGACCCATAGGTTGAGGAGGCGGTGACCGTGCAGTGGAGGAGGAAGCAGCGGTGGAGGAGGAGGATGAGGTAGCCAACACTGTATTTTATGTTTTTTTTTTTTTTATTGTGGTAGCCCACAAAATATTGGGACATACAAATAAAGAAATATTTGCAGCCTACGGTGCATTTCTTGCAGTCCTGATGCATGGAGAAAAGGCCTTCACAAGCCTCTGCTAATGTGTACCTAGTTTATACTAAGTGACCCATAGGTTGAGAAGGCGGTGACCGTGGCGGTGGAGGAGGAAGCAGCGGTGGAGGAGGAGGATGAGGTAGCTAACACTGTATTTTATGTTTGTTTGTTTTTTTAATTGTGGTAGCCCACAAAATATTGGGATATACAAATAAAGAAACATTTGTGGCCTGCGGTGCATTTCTTGCAGTCCTGATGCATGGAGAAATGCTCAACTTCTGATGCATGGAGAAAAGGCCTTCACAAGCCTCTGCTAATGTGTATCTAGTTTATACTAGGTTGAGGAGGCGGTGACCGTGGCGGTGGAGGAGAAAGGATGACGTAGCTGTGGCGAAACCGGCCTCGCCACGTGTCCTTGGAGGGGGCTGCTTGCCCGCCTCTTGCCTTTGGACTATGTGAATGTGTTATACCCCAGATAGGAATCCCATGGAGCCCAGTCGTATGAAACTGACTGTAAAGACTTTGGCTCCATGGCGATTAAACTGTATTTGTGTGGTCCGAGCGCCATTCACTTAATAATGTGCGCTCAGACCTGAGCTATCTGGGGATATGTGAAATGTCTGTGTGTTATGCGTAAAATGTGACTTTATGTATTTTAAAGTGTTTTGTGTCTTTTTGCAACCATGTGCTTAATGGAGTCTTGTGTCTATCCTGGGAGATAATTGAATTACTCTCCAGGATAGAAGACTCTGAAACTGGTTTGGGCCAGAAAGCCATGCTTCATTTAGTCACAAAGGACTTTCCTAACTTTTGAACCCCTTGTCTGATTTGTGCCATTTTTTAATATGTTGTTCCCCTGAATGGATTGATTGTGAATATGTAATTTTATGTGAATGTGATGTATGGTTTTGGAGTTATGAAAGTTGGGTAGAAAGTATGTTTTAACTGTATGTATAATTGAGTTTCCTCTCAGGATAAGGGGAGGGAATATGTGGGATGTAACTGTGATGTGATTGGTTGTTTTGTAACGCCCTGTGGGCTGTACTATGTTTGTGGATTGGGAATAAAAGAGACTGTATGTGACAGTACAGAGAGTTCCTGTTTTAACCCTCAAAGTGAAGTGTCGTCTCATTATTGGGGGAAGGATTTATTGTATGCTGTTCCAGTTTGACTGCTAGGAGAGTAAACCTATTCGTATGGTTTCCTATTCAACTGTCTGCAGCATTCATATGCTTGGGAGAATTTATTTGTTTCTCCGGTTCGGTGATTGTGGTGTCTGCCAGAGTGCTTGGAGTCCTCAGGAAGCGCTAGGAGCATCCTTCAACGGAGGTACCCAGTCGGGGTGCCAGGTGATCCGTTACATTGGTGGCAAGCGGTGGGATGGCATCCTAGTGCGAGGTAAAAGCAGCTCAGAGACACAGTTCGTGGATTTACAAATTGAAGGCGACGCTAGTGTTCATACAGCGTCCCTGTCTACATAAAGATTTGGGAAAACCAGCACTACTTCAGAGATGGAAGGCCGTGCAGTATCTCACTTTGACGCCAGGCTCCAGCAGCGACTACAGGATGTGATGCGCAGTATGGAGTATCCTATCCCAGAGGAAAGAGAGACAGAGTGGAGGGTGGCGCTTCGTACCGATCTCTGGAAGGAGGACATCGACGAAATTCGACCCTTCCGGTGCGAGGAAATCCTGACCACTAACCAGCGCCAAGCAGAACAACTAGAGCTGCGGATGCCGTTATTGGGAAACCAGCCCTCAGAGGAATGGGTAAGCGAACTGGAGACGCTAGTTGAGACTGAGGTGTGGCTGGATGATTCCTATCGGGCCCTGCGGTGGCATGTTTACCACCTCTACCCATGGCTGATTGAGTACAAGTGTATTGAGGGGGAAGACTACGATGGTCCTGGTTTGTTGTTGGATACTATTGAAACTTGTCTCTGGTTCGGAGACACCGACATTGCTCACTTCTGGTCCATTCGAGCTGAGCGGGCAGACAACTGGGACCTTACAGAGATCGATGCCATTCAGCCAGATCTATCTTTTCTTGCCAACCGAGAGTGGGAACTAGAACAGGATTATGTTTGCCTATTCCAACGTATAACGCCGCATGTCTCTGACATGATGGGGCTTATGGACTGTATACCACCGGAAGCATTGAGTTTAGTTCCTCCTCCCCAGCAACCAAGCCTGTTATCAGGAAACCTTGGTACTGTACCACATATGTCCCAACCAGCCCCAGAGATGGAAGACCTCATAGACTGGTCCTGGGAAGACCCACAGATGGCAGGTGGAGATGGGATGGCGGTCTCTCTACTGGCCCTACAGGGATGCTGGGCGGTCGGCCCAGATCTCCAGCGGCAGTGTGTACCCCAGGGAGCAGAAGGTGCAGTCCTTCCTCCCCAGCGGCAGTGTGTCCTGCAGGAAGCGGAGACAGTCGGTCTCGCTCCCCAGCAGCAGGGCAATATATTAAAAGGGGAGACAGTTGGTCCCCCTCTCCAACAGCAGAGAGAGTGTCAGGGAGAGGAGCTTGTTATCCCCTCTCCCCAGCGGCTGAAAGTATGTATGGGAGAGGAGCTTGTTACCCCCCCTCCCCAGCGGCAGCGTGTACCCCAGGGAGATGAAGGTGCCGTCCTTCCTCCCCAGCGGCAGTGTGTACCCCAGGAAGCAGAGACCATCTGTCTCGCACCCCAGCCGCAGGACAAAATATTGAAAGGGGAGACAGTTGGTCCCCCTCTCCACCAGCAAAGAGAGTGTCAGGGAGAGGAGCAGGTTACCCCCTCTCCCCAGCGGAAGTCTACAGTTCAGAGTGAGGAGCTTGTTACACCCTCTCTCCAGCGGCAGCCTAACCCACCAAGGGGAGATGTTAAGCCCCACAACTATGCAGATGGGACCGTAGTCTCTGCACTTGCAGCACCAGGGGCAGGGACGGTCGGTCCTGTCCCCCAGCCACAGAGCAGTGTATCCAGAGGGGAGACAGTCGGTCTCCCCCTCCCCCAACCAGGCTCCAACCAGGCTACTTCAGTGGTAGCGCTGGCACCCGGGCAGAGTACCGCTGGTCTCTGCCCACTCAGCAACCCACCAAGGCAGTCTACCAGCCCCCGCACAGCCGTGGTGAGGCACCTGGACATGGACAAGTTGCTATTTTATCCAGGTGTAGTAACCAGTTATTGTGGGTGGGCTGTATTGCTGTTTGTGCTTCGTGGGTGGGTTGCTGGACTAACCAGGGCACTGACCGGCAGGAGGTCAGATACCCTGTTAGTTTGGATGGTAAAGGGGAGAAATGTGGCGAAACCGGCCTCGCCACGTGTCCTTGGAGGGGGCTGCTTGCCCGCCTCTTGCCTTTGGACTATGGACCAGACTTTATGTGAATGTGTTATACCCCAGATAGGAATCCCATGGAGCCCATTCGTATGAAACTGACTGTAAAGACTTTGGCTCCATGGCGATTAAACTGTATTTGTGTGGTCCGAGCGCCATTCACTTAATAATGTGCGCTCAGACCTGAGCTATCTGGGGATATGTGAAATGTCTGTGTGTTATGTGTAAAATGTGACTTTATGTATTTTAAAGTGTTTTGTGTCTTTTTGCAACCATGTGCTTAATGGAGTCTTGTGTCTGTCCTGGGAGATAATTGAATTACTTATCTCCAGGATAGAAGACTCTGAAACTGGTTTGGGCCAGAAAGCCATGCTTCATTTAGTCACAAAGGACTTTTTACTAACTTTTGAACCCCTTGTCTGATTTGTGCCATTTTTGAATATGTTGTTCCCCTGAATGGATTGATTGTGAATATGTAATTTTATGTGAATGTGATGTATGGTTTTAGAGTTATGAAAGTTGGGTAGAAAGTATGTTTTAACTGTATGTGTAATTGAGTTTCCTCTCAGGATAAGGGGAGGGAATATGTGGGATGTAACTGTGATGTGATTGGTTGTTTTGTAACGCCCTGTGGGCTGTACTATGTTTGTGGATTGGGAATAAAAGAGACTGTATGTGACAGTACAGGGAGTTCCTGCTTAACCCTCAAAGTGAAGTGTCGTCTCATTATTGGGGGAAGGATTTATTGTATGCTGTTCCAGTTTGACTGCTAGGAGAGTAAACCTATTCGTATGGTTCCTATTCAACTGTCTACAGCATTCATATGCTTGGGAGAATTTATTTGTTTCTCCGGTTCGGTGATTGTGGTGTCTGCCAGAGTGCTTGGAGTCCTCAGGAAGCGCTAGGAGCATCCTTTAACGGAGGTACCCAGTCGGGGTGCCAGGCGATCCGTTACAGTAGCCAACACTGTATTTTATGTTTTCGTATTGTGGTAGCCCACAAAATATTGGGACATTCACATAAAGTAACATTTGCGGCCTGCGGTGCATTCCTTGCAGTCCTGATGCATGGAGAAATGCTCAATTCCTGATGCATGGAGAAAAGGCCTTCACAAGCCTCTGCTAATGTGTACCTAGTTTATACTAAGTGACGCATAGGTTGAGGAGGCAGTGACCGTGGCGGTGGAGGAGGAGGATGAGGTAGCCAACACTGTTATATATATATATATATATATATATTTTTTTTTTTTGTTTGTTTTTTTAATTGGGGTAGCCCCCAAAATATTGGGACATATAAAAAAAGACAACTCTGTTCCGCAGAGTAGCTGTTGACATTATAGTTGCGCAGGAATTTTGTTGACTCTAAAGAACCTCGGGCAAATCGCACATCCCCGTGGCGGTGACTTTGCATGCGGATGTCATCCATATCAACTTTCGATGCCAGTTTCTGCACCTACCATGGTGACCACGGGTAACGGGGAATCAGGGTTCCATTCCATACAGGGACCCTGAGAAACGGCTACCACATGCAAGGAAGGCAGCAGGCGCGCAAATGACCCACTCCCGACACGGGAAGATAGTGACAACAAATAACAATACAGGACTCTTTAGAGGCCCTGTAATTGTAATGAGTGCACTTGAAGTCCTTTAACTCTGATTAATTGGAGGGAAGTTTGGTGAAGAGCCACTGACCCGTGCGTGCTGCAGCCAGGGCTGCCATCAGAAATTTTGGGGCCCATGACACAGCTCAAGGTCTGGTCCCCCGGTGCCTGCACCCAAGTCCGCCCAAAGTGCTGCCCCCCCCGAGTCCGCCCACAGGGATGCAGTGTCTGCAGGGCCGGTGCAAGGATTTTTGCCGCCCTAGGCAAAAGTAAAGTTTGCCGCCCCCCCATGTGACATCACAATGCCCCACCCATATGATCTGCCATGTTAACTAACGCCAGTGCTGCAGTGCCGCTGTGTTTACATTAAAAGACCTGCAGGGACAGGCTAGACACCAGAACCACTACATTAAGCTGCAGTGGTTCTGGGGACTATAGTGTCCCTTTAATGTGAGGTAAATTAGAGGTTAGTGCCACGAATAATATACTAGATAGCCTACTTACAACCAGATGAGGATGATGATGGGCTCTAGCTGCCATCTGGCTCCACTGGTCTGGTGTAGAACTGGCAGTTTGTAACTGTGGTCACAAAAATCAATGTTCTGGGAGAACGGGAAGCAGCTCCATTTTTTTGAGGGCCCTTTACACAGCTCAACATCTGGGTCCCAGGGTCCACCTTCATGTTCCACCAATGAGTTTGTTCACAGGGGGTGGAGTGTGTGTGTGGGGGATGTCCTGATGTGTGTAAGGAATGCATTGTGTGAATCTGTGTTTGTATGTGTAAGGGCTGCAAAGTGTGTTTGTGTATGTATGGGATGCAGTGTGTGCGTCTGTAAGGGATGCATTGAGTGTGTGTAAGGGGTGCATTGTGTTTTGCTGTGTGTAAGGGATGCATTACTTGTGTATGTGTGTCTGTGTGTAATGCATTGTGTATTTTTCTGTGTGCAAGGGGTGCATTGTGTGTGTGTGTGATGGATGTCAATCTCTCCCCCTCCCCCCGTCAATTTCCTTCTTCACCCCCCTCTCCAATTTCCTTCTTCTCTCCCCTCTCCAATTTCCTTCTTCTACCCCTCCCTCTCCAATTTCCTTCTTTTACCCCTCCCTCTCCAATTTCCTTCTTCTCCCCCTCCTCTCAATTTCCTTCGCTTCTCCCCTCTCCTCCAATTTCCTTCTTCTCCCCCCTCACTCTCAATTTCAGCTTTTCAAGCCCCTTCCTTCTTCTCCCTCCAACTTCTCCCTTCTTTCTCCCCCTTCCACTTCCTTCTTCTCCCTCTCCTCTCTATTTCCTTCTCCCTCCACTTTTTCTTTTCTCCCCCTCTCATTTCTTTCTCCCTCCAATTTCTCTCTCTTTCTTCTCCCTTTCTCCATTTCCTTCTCCCCCACTTTCTCTTCCCCCTCTCCAATTTCCTTCTTCTCCCCCCCTCTCCAATTTCCTTCCACACACTTTTTTTTTTTTAAATATCATCCCCCCAGCCTCCCTACCTGTAGGAGTGCTGAGGGGATTCCCTGGGGTCCAGTGGTGTCACCCAGCGGCCGGTCCTGCGGGCCGGCGCACGAGGGAGCACTCTCCCTGGCTGAGAGTGCTCCCTCACGCGCCCGCCCGCATGACACCAGGGCCAGCCTCGGGGGGCCCTGAGGTGACCGGCTGCTGGGCCCTCCAGGAGAAGAGGCTGGCCACAGTGGGTACATACCGGGTCGCAGGGCCCCCTGCGACCCCGGTATGTACACCACTGAATGTGGGGCCCAGGACGACCTGAGTAGTCCGGGCCCCCCAGGACCGCCGGGCCCATGACAACCGTTATGGTTGTCATGCCCTGATGGCGGCCCTGGCTGCAGCTGAAACTCCACTAACGCCTGCTGCTGCTCGCAAAGTCTCGTGAGGTGGTAATTCTCGAGCTAATACATGCCGACGAGCACTAGGGGACAGCCGCTGCGCTTTTGCACCCTGCTCCCTTTTATGCTGTGCTGGTGCCTCTGTGCGACCAGCGGCTCTTCCTCCAAACTGCACACGTTACTCGCATGACCTTGATTCCATGTGGGAATCCTCCACATCATCTTCCACCCACTCCTCAACCCTGCCCTCCTTGCCGGTATGCACACTGCAAAAAAATTAATAATATTTATTTATTTACATATGCTCTAGTCAGATAAGAAAACATTTTTTTTAAATGGTATAAGAATTTTTCTCTTCTAAACTATATATGTACCTGTAAACATGCACCAGTGGAAGAACCACTAGGATATGAGAAAAGATTCTCAATATATAGGTTATATTATTATGCCTATTCTTACAACATGAACCAGCCTATAAACAAATATGTATACATTTACTCATATTCCCACACAATAATAATGTTCTTTTGACGGCACGTTCATTTTGTGCTGCCTATAACCCTCCCTTGAACTCCCCTTCTCTGAACGTAATGCTCGTTCATAACCGCCCTCCTCCTCGTGCTGTGCGAGCGCGCCCCTATCTTGCCGGCTAGCGCACGCACAGTTAATTTACTTCCACCCACTACATTTCCCAAGGAGCATCGCTCCTATACCACGTGATCGCGCCGGCTAATGTTTTCCGGCCAGCTATAGTAGTTTACTACATTTCCCAAGGAGCATTGTATTGACATTCTATTCAAGTTATTTCTATGTACACACCTTGTTTTATATACATTTTTATATCATCATGCTCCCAGTAGTTCATTCTATAATATCATATTAATTCTATCTATTTTGTAAAATTTTTTATCATGTTTGTTATTATCTGCTTTGTGATTGGCTGACCTAATTTTTGGCGCCATTTTTAGTTTACATTCTCTTATTTAAACTCTGTATGCCAGGTATGATTGTCTATACCAGGGGTAGGCAACCTACGGCACTAGTGCCATGCACAGCACTCGAGGTGCCTTTGCACGGCACTCAAGGCTACAAGAGGCAAATAGGCTCTGGCCTGTCAGGAGTCCCAGTGACACTTCAGATATCTGCTAATTCAAAAAGGAAGGACAATCCTCCATTTATGCATTGCAGCACGTAGAGGAAGTGATCTCAGATCACTTCCTCCAGCACTTGTGAATGGGAATTCACACTGGAGTAGAGCAACCCACAGCTTCCTGTTGCAGCTTCTGTCCTTAAGCTGTACCTGGCCAGCCTGGTACCCACTAAAACCCAGGGAAGCCTCAGAGCTGCAGAATAACCCCTCCCCCTCATACAAATAATACAAACACACACACAGTCCGCACAAACACAACACCACCAACAATCCACATACATGCACACAACCCCACATGCAGCCTCTCACATGCAATACCCCAAACAGCCCCACACATACTCACACTACCAAATACACAATGTGACATATACATCCACACACACAATTCCACAAGCAGCCCCCATACACAGCCCAAATTCATAGGTATTATACATGATACCACAAACTATTAATGAACATATACAATATAATAGCTCATATACGCACAAATGCAACGATACAAAGCAAATGCAGTATAAATAACACAAGCAGAATATGGCAACATGCACACCTCAATTTAAAGAAATAGGACCGACACACTATGGGACATCACAATCATATTTTGGCACAGTGCTGCTAAAAGGTTGCCTACCCCTGGTCTATACCATTTTGATAAAGCCTTTTATGGTGAAACGCGTTAATGGTTTTAAACTGTGTATTTTAAGCAATAAAAATGTTTTGGGTTATTATATATTTTTTATACCAATTCCTTTTTTTATTGTATTTTATTTGCACTTTTTTATTCTCCTGGCATCTTTCTATTTCAATTTTATTCTATTTTATCCTGTATCCTGTACCAAAGAAATCCGAGGTGGGGATCATTCCACCGCTGAGTTAATAGAGCAGTATCTTCTGCTCTATACTTGTAAGTACATTTATTTATTTTATTTCCATTCCATTATATACTGAGAGCACTATCGCTGTTTTCTTACATATACCCCGGAGCACTGCCTAACCAGACTGGATTGACGGACGCACCCCTCCACTATATCCGTTAGCGGGGATCATACCGCTACACGCCCTTTACCCCAGAGCTGGCTATAGCTCTCCTAAATGTGAGTGCCTTCATTTTATAATTCTTTTTCTGGATCCTGATGATATTACACAATCGTAAAATATTTTGTCGTTTTCCCTTTTCTCTCCACATATACCGATATTTTAAACCATCCGGACGGATCAACTCCTGAGGATTGCCAACTTCCCCCCCCCTATCCTGGTATATAGAGAGACTTTTAAAGTGACTTTTATTTACCATTTTTATTTCCAAATTTTATTGTACGCTTGAGACCTCATTCATTGTTCTATTTTTTATATATAGGCCTACTTTGTTGTTTCTCCATTTAGACCATTTGATCTGGTTGTTTGTTATTACAAATTACTGATTATAATCTCGGGCGCAACCCTTACTTCTTTTGTATTTTTTATCTTGCTTTTAAGGGTCTTGAGGGATTCCCTTTTTTGGGTTGCTGCCTTTCAGTTTGTTATCTTCTGACTCTTCCCCCTTTGTTCTTATTACCTTTCTATCATGGCCCACAGTAAGTTCTTCGGCAGTTTCAGATACAATAGCTTTTCTGAATTATCAGACCAGACAGGTTAGCCACTGCTCCCCACATGCATCAATAAGCCTTGTGTGGCTATGACTCTGACTGGCTGTCCTTCCTTGCACCAATTTTGGTAGGTACTAACTACTGCATACTGGGAATAACTTAGAAGACTTTCTGTTTTGGAGAAGCTCTGACCCAGTCATCGAGCCATCACTATTAGACTCTTGTCAAAGTCACTCAGATCTTTTTGCTTGCCTTTTTTCCTGCTTCCAACACATGAAATTTAAAAACCATTGCTGTCTCAAATGTATAGTTGTCAGGAATTTTTGGGTGGTTGTCCAGCTGGCAATATTGGTAACAACTTGAACTGAAAGTATTGAAGGAAATAAATTAAAAACTTTAATAAATCACAAACCATTTTAAGAACTACATATTAGGAACCACCGTTTTACAAAATTGTGAGGTGTTTGCCAGGCTAATCTCAGCTATATACAGTTTTTACCACTCATGCAGGAATGCAATCTGTTTGTCAAATGCCATTATATTTATATAAAATAAGGTGCACTGTTCACCGTGAATTACAACAATAAAGTGCAATATGAGTTGTAAAGAACATTAATAAGAAATCTCATGAAGTACATAAGCTCTTATTTGTAGTGCAAAGAATATCTTGTGCAATATTCACAAAGTGCACATATAAATAAGAATCACTTACAATATGCAATATGTCTCTTATAGTTTCTTCCACAATTCGCCAAAAAACCACAAAGTGTGTAAGCGCTTGAGACCCAGAAAAAAAGAATACACAATTATAGCAGTGCTTTCCCAAAGTGACACAACCGTGACCCAAAGTATACAGAAAATTATACCAGACAAACGTAGTGCGCTTAAACTGGATGATGTCTTGCCTCTCATGTTCTATAAAACAGAAAAAAAAACATAGTGCAGATCATCTGATTAAACAACACAATATTTTATTGGTGTATATGGTAGAAAACTCACATGTACCAGAGCCCTATCACCCCTGGCTCTGGGTTTGAAGTGCACCAATAAAGAGGGATATTTTCCACAACGTGGTATTCAAATTGATGATTCTAGGTAATGCATGTATTGTGGTATATACAGGTATTTTATGTATTGGTGGGCATGCCAGCAAAACACCCATAAAAACGCTTCTTCGAGAGGCGAGCGAAATGCGTCACGGAGGACATCAGAGAGCGGCAAAACCCAGAAGTAGCTGTACACCGGTGGCATTTTTAAGCTAACTTAACTTGCATTTTTGTGTGTGTTTTGCTGGCATGCCCACCAATACATAAAATACCTGTATATATCACAATACTTGCATTACCTGGAATCATCAATTTAAATACCACGTTGTGGGAAATATCCCTCTTCATTGGTGCACTTTAAACCCAGAGCCAGGGGTGATAGGGCTCTGGCACATTTTAGATAGTCTGCACTATGTTTTTTTCTGTTATTTTATAGAACATAAGAGGCAAGACTACTACCGCAATTCATTCAGTGTGGAAGTATATAGTGTAACACTGAAAAAAGAAATGTAATCGTACTTGCAAGGTGTAATCACTTACAAGTAAAGATCAGTGAAGCCTACTCTAACTTAAGCTCCAAGTATCCACCTAATATTTATTTGGTAGGACCCAGGTAAGGACAAATATTAACAAATCTAAGTAAAAGGCTTTATTCAGTGCAAATAGCAAAATGTAGGTTGAGAAACAGCCCCTTTCCCAAACGTTTTCCCCCAGTAAGCAATACAATACGTTCTCTGTCCAATCACCGGCGGCTTTTCTGGAACTCCGATATTTTATTCTTCTGGGAAGCGGGGTTTCCGTCCTATGAGCATGCTGATGTAATACAACATGATAACGCGTTTCCCCGCTTCATGGCTTTATTTTATCCATCAGTCTCTTGCTGCCAATTACATTTTTATCTACCCAAGTGGGCATGCATAATTATTTCCCTAGAATCAAGTCTCTTGACTGGTTGTTCTTCAAATATTATTATACAATTTGCTGTAAAAAGCAGCAGAAGAAATATTTTCACATTCAAACCCTAGATTATTCTCTGTACCTATGTGGAAAAACGAATATAAAAATACTGTAAATACAGTATCAATAAAATGATTACAGAAAAAAAAAAACAGTATTTTATTGAGAGATCTATTAAGGGAGAGAGCAATAATAAAAATGAATGTGAAAAATAGGACTATAACACTTTAAGATTATATAATATTTATTGTGAAATCTACTAAGGGAGAGAAAAAGTTATAAAAATTTGTCAAAAAATTTATGAAATATTTTATTAAACATATGTAATAAAATTAAAATTGTATGACTTGAAATCTATATTTAATCCTTTAGACTCTAAAGTCTGTAGCCTGTTGACCAACTTAATTTCTTCCTTTCCAATATCTAAAATCTAATTCCCACGCCCCTGACGTAGCCTCAGCCAACTGTCTTTTAAACACCCGCCCCATGGGCATTATCCGGCAGGCAAAGTGCATTTTCCCCAGCAGCGACTGCAGCTGCCGCAAAGGAGTTTTACGGAGACCCCTAGCAGTCGCTAGGGACCATATGGGCGACCCCGCGGGCCCAAAGCAGAGGAAATCGTGCAAATAATGGAGAATGGAGTTGCACCCCGACTCCTCCCTCACTAACCACTCCAGTAACGTACTAAAACATTCAAAATAAAAACAGGATATCGAGCACCCCATGGGCGAGCAATGGTCGATGTAATTATTACCACCCTCGAAGTAGCAATTCAGAAGGTGGTGACACCCTGGGTGAACCAGGAGTAAACAAAAGGCCAACTCGATGTCAGCCTTGGCCATGAGGGAGCCCGGGCCTGCAGCCTTAACCATGTGCACCGCCACGTCGAACGAGGCATATGAGACCCGGCACAGCTCGTCGTCAATGTATCCATTCACTGAACATCCAGAGGGGGGCAGGGGAGGACAGATGGTGGATAAGCGTAAACTTCCCCGGCTCCTTCTTAGGCACAATCTTTAGAGGTGACACCCGTAAGTGCGAGAATGGAGGAGCCCAGAACGGCCCCGCCATGTGCCCCAAGGTACTTTTCCAGTTTTGTCCTCACCATGCCGGGGAGATCCCCCACCGACGACAGATTGCCGAGGCCTCCCGTTTCCAGTGAGGAATCCAGAAACCTGCTCCGAATACCTCAAGTAGGAGCGCAGCCACCTCCCTGTTTTTATTGCGGCTTAGCCATGGGCGCATCGCTCTGGCGTCCACCGGCGTCTTCCCCTTTAGATCCCACAGCTTCTCCTTTGTCCCCTGGCCTACCCCGCTTGAAGCATTTCGCTGCTAAGTGACTCCCCCCACACACTGAGCACTCGTGTTTATATGTACAGCTGGCCCCCCACTTGCTGTGGCTGTTGTTAAACTACCAACAACCCCCAAGGTGCCGCGGAGTGGCCGACACTGGTGAGGAGCCTCCCACACCGTCCCCCACTGAGAAAGGGCGACAAACCTCCCTGATGGGAGGCCAGGCGCATCATAATCAACAACTACAGCCCGATGTCCACTTGGTCCCACCACGTGGACAGGTGAACTGCCTGCCGCAGTCGAAATTGCTTGTTGTAGCGCCACCAACTTAAACCCCCATACACCCGACAAGCATTCCATTCTAAGTCCTGGTAACAGAATGGGGTGGAGCAGTGCTCCGGGGCCTTTTTCCCCAATCATGCTGGCCAAAATAGAGAAAGCCCTTACCCAATTGCCCAACGTCTTTAGGATTTTCCGGTAACGGAACTTCTCCTGGTCCTTTTCGGCATCCTTATTGGAGGAAGATCCTCCAGAGGGAACAGGAAGAATATCTCCACAAACTCTCTCTTCCATATCTTCTTCTTCAACTCCGCTTTTAAATGAAGCCCCAACCAGCACATGTATGCCACGCCATGAGCCGCCAGAGCCACCTCGTATACCGCAGCGGGGACCGTTCCGAGAACTGCGGGCACCCTGGGCACCGCAGATGCCACCGATCCTACTAAAGCCGAGGTACCGGCAATACTTGGCCCTGGAGAGCCAGGGGCCCAGCCGTCCCGAATCTAAAGACATAGGTTGCATCGAGGCAGTCAAGGCAGCAGTCTGCAGGTGAACGAGCTGGGCCTGCAGCTGCGCCCGCAATCCTGAAGGGCCTCAGCCCAAAGAGCAGCCAGGACCTTATCAATACCTATGAAAGCTCTGTCTGAAAACAAGTTCTGGCAGCAGCACAGGGAGACTGTTCCAAGCTGATATTATTAGGATGGCTGAGCCCCTTACAGAAAATGGCCACCTATATATAGTGACACCACCCCTTCGCTCACTCCAGACCTCACCTGGCCTGATTTTCCTCCCCCTCACTCAAACATGTCCCTTTTCCTGGCTAGCTTTCAACCTGCCTCCTCAGGGTCTCAGTAAGACCACAGGCCTTCTAGCTCCTCTTCTGACTAACCATAAAATATACTGTCCTACATAATATAAAAATTGTGCCGTTCCACAGCCACACTGTTCTTAATAATATGTAATCCTAATGTGTGCTAATGCTGTTGTGGCAAGGCATGCCTGTATTGTTATAGGTGCATGACAAAAATAAAGAATAAAAAAAATACACAAAAAAAAAACTTTAATAAAAAACTCTTCATCCTTATATTTTTTTCTAAACATTGATTTTGTCAGGATTACTAGTTGATCCAGCACATAGAATTGTGTCACACAGATGACTAATAGGTAACGTATTACCGGGCCTTAGAATGGCCGGACTTAACGTACTAAAGAATAGTCAGTATACTTGCCGAGGTCAGGGGATACAGAAAGAGGCACAATGATAAGAGAAAGCCAGAAGTCAGGGATACAGAATACAGGGAAGTCAAAATCAAAGCCAAAGTCAAAAACCAGAAGAAACTTGATTTAGGAACGCGCTCTCAGACAACCACTAGGGAAACCACAACAAGGCACTGAGCAGGATGAGAACTGGGCCTAAATACCCCTCTTCTAGATCTTATAGGCTGTAACCGGCCTTTGACCCCAAAGGCAGTTACCAGGTTCCCATTTGCATAATTGCTGCTCAGCATTAACCCTTCTGTGGATTTGGTTGCTGCTCGGTACAACTTTTCCTGTGTGGACAGTAAATGCCATTAACCACATTTTTATAAGCGGATGAATACGTGACAGATTCCTTTTAAAGTTATATTTTCACTATGCAATAGTGAAAAGTGAGATACACAATAGTGGGAATGTGTGTTAGCAGAGACTGCTACTGACCACCTGAGTGGGAACCCCTTATACCACACAGAATAAATAAATAAATAAACCAATATTACATACAGTAGGTGGAACACACTTCTGATGATTCTACAAAGAAACACAAAAGAACATAGTGCAATATTGTCAATATGAATAAAATATAAATACTGTAGAAATCAGGTACTCACAAACATGGAGCCAAATCACGACATATGGCTCTCATGCGTAGTGCAGAGGGACTCTTTATAGGATGTCCCCATCCTACTTCCAGCTGATATGTGTATAGCCTTTATGGATCTTGGAGAAATGATGAACACTATAGGTTCAGGAACACGTTTGATAAAAACACTCTCTAGCCATGCTGCCATCCCCCCATCCCCTAAATGTAGTAAAATCTTACCCTTATTACTGTCTGCTGGTACTAGCTCTGCACCTGATCTGCCTCCTTGGCTGACGTAACCAGAATTCTGATTATCTCAGCCAAGGAGGCAGGCAGGGGTGAAGCCAAACACTGCCCTGGCCAATCAGCATCTCCTCATAGAGATGCATCGAATCAACGCATCTCTATAAAAACAGTTTAGTGTCTCCATGCAGAGGGTGGAGACATTGAATGTCAGTGCACCCAAGGAAGCACCTCTAGTAGCCATCTAAAGGAGTAGCCACTAGGGAGCAATATCTGAAAAGACAGTATTTACTGCAAAAAGCCTGCAGCGACAGGCTATACTCACCAGAACAAGTACATTAATCTGTAGTTGTTCTAGTTACTATAGTGTCCCTTTAAGTTTGGATTGACTGAAAGTGTGCCTCAGATTGTCCCTTTTGCCATCCTGGTTCATCTTCCTGGCTAAACTGGAGATCATAAACATAACTCATAGATTATATTACATGGCAGAGTGAGATAAAAATAGATTCCACACTGCCTGAAGGGTGAGTTATTAAATGACACACCTCATGACCTCCATTATATCAGCTGAACAGCAGCATAACGTAGATGCAGCAAAACATGTGTCTTTCTGATTACTGCTCTTGCTGAGAGCAAGTATTAGATAAGAAAATCCATGAGACACACAACATAATTAGGTCAACAGGTGGAGAACCTTTTATTAAAACCACAAACTAATTGGCAATGGCTGGGGGGCATTAGTTTAATAAAGGGATGAACTAATGTTTTTCCCCAGACCACAGCAATTGGCAGCAAGTAAGGCTAATATTACATTTTACAATTAGGGTGGACATGGCGTGGGCCGCTGGCCCTGTGGTTGCTGGGTTACCCACAGGAGTAGAGCACTGTGCTGCTCTCCTCC